CCTCTTTCCTCTTCCTTTGTTTGGTTTGATGGGTTTTCACCTTGCTCTTTCATCTGCTGTGTGTTTCTCTGTCTTCTCATTTTGCTTAACTTACTGTGTTTGGGGTCTCCTTTTCACAGGCTGCAGGTTCATAGTTCCCATTGTTTTTGGTGTCTGTCCCCAGTGGCTAAGGTTGGTTCAGTGGGCTGTGTAGACTTCCTGGTGGAGGGGCCTGGTGCCTGTGTTCTGGTGGATGAGGCTGGATCTTGTCTTTCTGGTGAGCAGGACCATGTCCAGGTGTTTTTTGGGGTTGTGTTTTGGGGTGTCTGTGACCTTATTATGATATTAGGCAGCCTATGTGCTAATGGATGGGGTTGTGTTCCTGTCATGCTAGTTGTGTGACATAGGGTGTCCAGCACTGTAGCTTGCTGGTCATTGAGTGGAGCTGGGTCTTAGCGTTGAGATGGAGATCTCTGGGAGAGCTTTCACTGTTTGATATTATGTGGAGCTGGGAGGTCTCTGGTGGAGCAATGTCCTGAACTCGGCTCTCCCAACCTCAGAGGCTCAGGCCTGACACCCAGCCGGAGCACCAAGACCCTGTCAGCCACACGGCTCAGAAGAAAAGGGAGAAAAAAAAAAAAAAAAAAGAAAGACAGACAGAAAGAAAAATAAAATAAAGTTATTAAAAAATAAAAAAGTATTAAAAAGAAAAAATATTAAAAAAAATAGAAACAAGAGAGCAACCAAACCAAAAAAACAAATCCACCAGTGATAACAAGTGCTAAAAACTATACAAAAAAAAAAAAAAATGGACAGACAGAACCCTAGGACAAATGGAAAAAGCAAAGCTATACAGACAAAATCACACAAAGAAGTGTACCCATACACACTCACAAAAAGAGAAAAAGGAAGAAAATATATATATTTATAAAACTTTAAAAAAAGAAGAGAGCAACCAAATCAGTAAACAAATCTACCAATGATAATAAACTCTAAATACTAAACTAAGATAAGCATAAAACCAGAAACAAATTAGATGCAGAAAGCAAACCCCAAGTCTACAGTTGCTCCCAAAGTCCACCTCCTCGATTTGGGATGATTCGTTGTCTATTCAGGTATTCCACAGATTCAGGGTACATCAAGTTGATTGTGGAGCTTTAATCCGCTGTTTCTGAGGCTGCCGGGAGAGATTTCCCTTTCTCTTCTTTGTTCTCACAGCTCCCGGGGCTCAGCTTTGGATTTGGCCCCGCCTCTGCGTGTACGTCACTGGAGGGCATCTGTTCTGCACCCAGACAGGACGGGGTTAAAGGAGCCGCTGATTCGTGGGCTCTGGCTCACTCAGGCGCGGGGGAGGGAGGGGCACGGATGCGGGGCGAGCCTGCGGCGGCAGAGGCCGGCATGACATTGCACAGCCTGAGGTGCGCCGTGCGTTCTCCCGGGGAAGTTGTCCCTGGATCCCGGGACCCTGGCAGTGGCGGGCTGCACAGGCTCCCCGGAAGGGGGGTGTGGAGAGTGACCTGTGCTCGCACACAGGCTTCTTGGTGGTGGCAGCAGCAGCCTTAGCGTCTCATGCCCGTCTCTGGGGTCCATGCTGATAGCCGCTGCTCGCGCCCGTCTCTGGAGCTCCTTTAGGCCGTGCTCTGAATCCCCTCTCCTCACACACCCCGAAACAATGGTCTCTTGCCCCTTCGGCAGGTCCAGACTTTTCCCCGGACTCCCTCCCGGCCAGCCGTAGCGCACTAACACCCTGCAGGCTGTGTTCACGCCGCCAACCCCAGTCCTCTCCCTGCGCTCTGACCGAAGCCCAAGCCTCAGCTTCCAGCCCCGCCCGCCCCGGCGGGTGAGCAGACAAGCCTCTCGGGCTGGTGAGTGCCGGTCGGCCCCGATCCTCTGGGCGGGAATCTCTCCGCTTTGCCCTCCGCACGCCTGTTGCTGTCCTCTCCTCCGTGGCTCTGAAGCTACCCCACTCCGCCACCCGCAGTCTCCGCCCGCGAAGGGGCTTCCTAGTGTGTGGAAACCTTTTCTCCTTCACAGCTCCCTCCCACTGGTGCAGGTCCCGTCCCTATTCTTTTGTCTCTGTTTTTTCTTTATCTTTTCCCTACCCAGGTACGTGGGGAGTTTCTTGCCTTTTGGGAGGTCTGAGGTCTTCTGCCAGCATTCAGTAGGTGTTCTGTAGGAGTTGTTCCACGTGTAGATGTATTTCTGATGTATTTGTGGGGAGGAAGGTGATCTCCGCGTCTTACTCCTCCACCATCTTGAAGGTCCCCCGCTAATCTCTTTCAAGGGTTTTAATTTCTCTTAATTTTGTAGTTTTTAGTGTAGAGGTCTTAAACGTCTTTCATTAGATTTTTTTTGTTTTTTTTTTTAATTTTAAGGTAAATGATATTTTTAAAAAATTTCATTTCCAATTGTTTGTTATCATTTCTTTTAAACCATCTCTTTCCTGTCCTCAAGATTTTTATTTTGGTCTATCTTTAAGTTGACTAGAAGTCTTTCTTGAATTTTTTTTCCAGGAAAGGCGTGATAGCAAACAATTGTATTAGTTTTACCTGTCTGAAAGTGGTTTGTGTGGTTCTCAGCTTATGAATAATCAATGTTGTGGTCGGACCAGCCCTTGTGGTTCTTACTGTGACTGCAAGATGCCCTTCAGGAGTAGTCATCAGGGAAAAAAGTAAAGGTTTGTTACTTACAAGACCTGGAAATTACACAGCACTCCTAGGGCCACACAGTGAGGACGTGAGGAGAAAGAGAGCGAGCACATGGGCCCGAATTCTGCTTTTACTGGGGATCATGGTGGGGGCCACTGTGGTTTTGTGGGCTCACTCTTTATTGGTGAATTTAAAACCAGAGCAGGAGTTTAAAGCATGGGAAAAGAAAAAACCAAATGACCCAACTGGTCAGTTATTGAAATCAACCAAGATCTCTAAAACAAAGGACCTCACTGGACATAAAGTAAGCTGTCTGTGGATGGATTTGGGGGGTATTGTTTCTTGTTATCTTTTTATCTCAGTGTCTCCTGAGTATTACTCCACAATCTTCTTACATTTAAAGTTGCAGAATAGAAGGCTTTATCAGTCTGAATTGTTTTTCTTTTGTGTGTAATCTGTTTTTCTACACAAAAGATTGTCTGTTATACTTTCTTATCCCAGGAATTGAAACATTTCCCTACCCTATACCTGCTGTGGTTCTTTTTTCATTAATTTAGCCTCGTGTTTGGCGAACACTTTTGATTTGAGAGCTCAGAGTTTTCTTCAACCCAGAGACATTTTCTCCCATTATTCCTTTGACTGTTGTCTTCTCTGATCATTCCTTCTGTGATTTTTCTTGTTTATTGAAGGAATTTGGCCTCCATAGGTCTTATCTTTTTGCACATTAGTTTTAATTGCTTCATCATTTTACTCTTTGTTCTTGGAAAATTTGGTGGGTCTTCTGATTCACTAATTTCATTTTCTGTAATAGCCATTTCACTGTTCACTGCTTTTATTAACCTTCAAATTTGAAAGTCATGCTTTCCAATGGCAACAACTTATCTCAAATTGCTTCTTTTTAAAAAATACTGCCTGCTTTTGTCCTATAGAGTCATTGACATCTCCTTCCTCTAGAGCTGTATTCTTCTTTCACTTCCCTTCTTTTATCAGCCCCTAATCTTCAGGCAGAAAAAACAATTTTCCTTTGCTTTTCCATCTCACTCATCCACTGTGTAATAGTTATTTGTTTATATGTTGCCTCCCTTGTTCTCCTGTGAGCTCCCTAAGAATAGATCCAAATTTTTCCATTTTTATATCACTGCATCTGGCACAATGCCTTGATGCCTTCGGTCCTCAGTGCAAGATTGTTGAGTTGAACTGTATGTTGCTCTTTGAAATTGGACGGCAGCTGGGGAAGGGCACAAGGGATCCTTTCGAGGTGATGGAAATGCTCTAACTGCAACATGGTGATATTTGCACACCTCTATAATATAAATTACTACAAGTCATTGAATCGTACACTGAGAACATGTGAATTGGGTGTTATGTAAGCATAATTTAACAATGCTGTTTTTTTGAAAAAGACAACTGATGGCAAAGATGTGCCAAAGCCACTGCTGATGCTGGAAAATGGAGCAAGGGTACAGATAGTAGGGATATATATATATATATATATATATATAGTTTTGTTTTGTTTTTTGTTTTTTTGCGGTACGCGGGCCTCTCACTGTTGTGGCCTCTCCCATTGCGGAGCACAGGCTCCGGATGCGCAGGCTCAGCGGCCATGGCTCACGGGCCCAGCCGCTCCGTGGCATGTGGGATCTTCCCGGGCCGGGGCATGAACCCATGTCCCCTGCATCGGCAGGTGGACTCTCAACCACTGCGCCACCAGGGAAGCCCGGGATATATATTTTTTTAATGTTTTGTCTAAAGTTGATTATTGTTACCTGCAAGAGGGTTAGTCAGGTAAAAGGTTGTTGACTTATCAGATACGAAACTCCCAGATATTTGTTCTCTTAACATGGGAATGGTAAATACTTTTAACTGGGTTGCCGATTCCAGTCCATTGTAAATATTTGCCTGGGACACTGGACTAAGAAGGATCGTAAATCAGTGTCTGGATGCAGTGGTATAGGATGTGGCGATGGGTTATTAAAGTCGGCCAGGGATTCAGAGTTGTGCGTGCATGCCAGGTACGTGCCATCCATTATATGGCTGGTGTCACCCAGCCAGCCATGCTGGGGTAGCTCAGCCACCACTGGGTGTGGGAAATGATCAAGAAAGTGGAATGGGACCTTATGTTTTGTAACGTAGGGAAGCGAGAAGGCAATGAGCTGCTCTCTCTATGTCTGCTACTCCTCAGGACCACATATAAGAGATGGATATGAATTGAGGCGTATTAATCACCTAGGGTTACCAGAACGAAGGACCACAGACTGGGTGGCTTCAACAACAGTTCCGGAGGCTAGAAGTCCAAAATCAAGGTGTCTGTCCCCTACCTGCCGTTGTGATGAAGTCATCTGAACGTTCCTGATGCTTCTTTGTGTCTTGCAGTGGCTTTCTGAATGGAGCTTTCGTGAAGGGAGGCCCAGATGGTTCCAGTGCCCGCATGATGAAGGGAGAGATCACATTTTCCCAGGTGTGGCGACCCCTCATAGACCCCCTTGAGAAGGTGTTCTGTAACTACACACCCATCTCCCCTGCTGACCGTAAGCTCCGTGAGGGCAGGGCCATGTCTGCCTCACCCGTTTACCCCTTATAACGCTTAACTCACAAGACTGGGCTGGAGACATTTCAGATTGTTTATTGTCTCTTTGATCCAAGCAGAGGGCCACACCCCAGTGATTAGGAAATTTCCAAGCCCTTGAAGATCTATGCCAGGGAATTACAGCAGCCAGAGTAGCTTTTTTTTTTTTCCCCCTTAAGCTGTGGTTAAATACACATCACATAAAATTTACCACCTTTATCATTTTAAAGTATACAATTCGGTAGTGTTAAGTATATTCACGCCAGGTAACCAACACCACCGTCCATCTCCAGAGCTCTTTTCATCTTGCAAAACGGAAACTCTATACCCATTAAACAACGCTGCCCATTCCTCCTTTCCCCAACCCCTGGCAACCACTACTGAACTTTCTGCCTCTATTTAGCTACTATACATTTCTTATATAACTGGAATCATGCAATATTTGTCCTCTAGTGACTGACTTATTTTGCTTAGCATGATGTCTTCAAGGTTCATCCATATTGTAGCATGTGTCACAATTGCCTTCTTTCTTAAGGATGAATGAGATTCCATTGTGTGGATAGACTACGTTCTGTTTATCCATTCATCTATCAATGGACATTTAGGTTACTTCCTCCTTTTGGTCACCTTGTCTAATGCTGCTAGGAACATGGGTGTACAAATATAAGTTTGAAATCTTGCTTTCAGTTTTTCTGGATATATATCCAGAAGTGGGATTGCTGGATCATAGGGTAGTTTTCCATTTTTAATTTTTTGAGGAACCACCATAGTGTTTTCCATAGCGGTTGCACCACTTTACATTTTCCTCCCAACAGTGCACAAGGTTTCCAGTGTTTCCACATCCTTGCCAACCTGTTATTTTCTGTTTTCTTGATAGTAGTCATCCTTAGAGTACTTATTATCAGACAAGGGCTACTGGGTCAGGGGAAGTTTTGTTAATTACCAACTATAAGATGGGTGGACTTTGGAATCTGATGTCGGGATTTGGAGCATAGCTCCCACTTACAGACGCGTGAGCACAGCAAGTCACAGAACCTCTCAGAGTCTCAGTTTTGCCACCTGTAAAATGAGATCGATAAGATGCTCCGTCTCCTAGGTTGTTATGAAGCTTGAAAAGTGCTTAGCACAGTGCCTGGCACGTAATCAGTGCTCAATAGATAGTAGTTACTGTTGTTACTACAACCTCGATTTTTTAAAATTGAAGTATAGTTGGAGATTATTTTTAAATAAAGTAATCAGGATCTAAAACCACTTGAATTCTCAATTAGTGCCTCGGAGAAGAAAGGCTATTGAGAATCTACTCTATGAGCACACAGATAAAGCAGTCTGGTTTTTTTTTTAATTTATGAATTACAGCCACCTATCAGTCTAACAGAGAACTTGGGGCCCATCATAATAGAAAGCAAAGCCCACCTTTCCAGTGAAGACAAGTGTGGTCTTAGCGTGGGGAGTGTAGTGAATTGTGGTCACTTTAAAACTCTCTGTCTTTCACACACACACACACACACACGCACACACACACACATATTTTGGCAACTCGTGAATGAAAACTGTAATGATACCATTGGGGATAAACATTACTGAAGCGTGAATCAATTAAAAAAAAGCTGCAGTAATATTGTTGGAAGGTAAGGAAAGGGAGAAGTGGTATGAATTTCATTCATTTACATGTGACTATACAGTTTTCCCAACACCATTTATTGAAGAGACTGTTCTTTCCTCATCGTGTACTCTTGGCTCCTTTGTCATAAATTAATTGACACGTGGGGTTTTTTTCTGGGCTCTCTATCATTCTGCTATCGATGGGTATTTGGGTAATTTTTAGTTCGGGACTATTATATACGAGACAAGAGTGCTACTATGATAGTGTATAAATATACCACAATCCAGTCTGCTATTAATGGGTGTATTCGTTTGCTAGGGCTACCATAACAAAATACCACAGACTGGGTGGCTTAAACAACAAAATTTATTTTCTCATAGCTCTGGAGGCTAGAAGCCCAAGACCAAGGTGTTGGCAGGGTTGGTTTCTTCTGAGGCCTCTCTCCTTGGCTTCTAGGTGGCCGACTTCTCCCTGTGTCCTCACATTCTTTCTTCTGTGTGTGTCTGTGTCCTAATCGCCTGTTCTTATAAGGACACCAGTCAGGTTGGATTAGGGCCCCCCGACGTCATTTTTGTCGTGGTCCCAATGCAGGTTGGAAAAGAATTTCCAGACACAAAGGCAGAATGTAAAGATTATAGAATTTATTAGAGGGAGGGGTGGCTGCCTGAACAGTGGGCTGGCTGACTTCCTAGTAGTCTGGGAGAGTCGAGCCCAAACATGTGCTATTGATCAGTTTTTATAGCCAGAAAACAAAGGAACGGTCTGAGGTGAAAATTTCATTTACGGATTGGTCGAGGCACATATACCTTCCTTCTATAGGGTGGAGTGGGACAGGCAAGATGCCTTTCCTTATTTGGGCCAGGTCCCGTTGCCCAGGTGGGCGTTGCCCAGGTGGGCTCAGGGAATTTCGTAACCATCACAACACGGTAAGGGGAGCGAGTAAGAGTCCTGTTGGGGGTGTAACACTGCAACTTTTACAGGCAGGGTCGTCCTTTGTCCTTGAAGCACCATTGTCCTTGGAGAACCACAATTTTACCTTAATGATCTCTTTAAAGACCCTCTTTCCAAAGGACAATCACATTCTGAGGTCCTGGGGGTTAGGACTTCAACATGAATTTGTAGGGGACCCAGTTCAGCCCTAACAGGGGGATTTGAGTAGTTTCTAGTTTGCAGTTCTTAGGAAAAGTACTGCTATGAACATTTTTGTACATGTCTTTTGGTGAACATATGTGGACATTTCCACTGGGTATGTGTCCAGGAGTGGAATTGCTGGATCACAGGGAATGCATGTGTTCAGATTTAGTAAATGCTGCCCAAAGCTTTTCCAAGTGGTTTCACCAATTGACAATCCCTCATCAATTCACTTTCACAGTGGATGCCATTCATGGAAGAAAACTGCAGGAAATGTTCTGAGGACTCTGGAATCTGCCTCCCTGAGAATTTCTCTATAAATCAGATCTTTGGCAAGGCACTTGCAGCAAGAAAGGTCAACGACCCCATGCTTAAGGCAGCTCTCACTCTCAAAAAGAAGGGTAAGGATCTGAGACTGGCCATTCTCTGACCCAACCACACGAGAACCCTTGGGAGGGTCAGGTCAAAATACATCTAAATGTGCATTGAATTCAATGACAGGCACATTTATACTCATATGTATTAGTAATTCCTTCACTTGATTTTCCTTGAATAGACATTTATTTAGTGGCAGAGCCCAGCTCTTCGTCACAGGCATGTTTGAGGTCATCCTCCCCACGTATCAGTAGCCTTACCTGGTTGTGTCTGAGACATATTTCCCACTCATATTACATGGAAAGGGTCTGTCCATTGACTTATCCTTGTCTTGTTTCCAGCATCTCCCGGTTCTTGTCCTGTGTGGTTAGGAAGGGGATAATGCTGTCTCTGTTTACATTCCTCTGGTTTTGAAGTGGGAGCACCGTCTCTGCCAAGGCAGGTGTTTTGAAGCGTGGTCCAGCAGAGTTTGCAGTAACGTAGACTGAGAGGAGGGTTGGAGTGGCAGTCCAAAGGTGGGATTCTGGGCCGGCCTCAGCTCTGCCTGCACTCTGCGGCTCTGGGCAGCTTAAAATGTGTCTGAGCTTCCATTTTCCCGTTGGTAAAAGTGGGGTGGTAAGATCTGCCCTGCCTGCCCCAAAGGTGTGAGGATCGAATGGGCTGATGAATGTCAAAACTCTGATCCAATGAGCTGACGAATATCACAACTTCTTGCTCTACGATTGCAAGAAATGAAGGGATGTAGTGTTTCCATCTGAAAGCCCTTGGTGCACACCGTTAGAGGCTCTAGCGTCTGCGCCGGGAGGGGCTTATGGGTAACAATGGTGCTTTTCTAACTTGTCAGTTTAGAAGCCAGACATCAGGAGATTGATGTAAGTGAGCAGAATCCCGCCTGGCCCCGTCTTGGGGGCCCCCTGTGGGATACCCGGAGCTTCTCAGAGCAAAGTTCTATAGCTGGTCTATTCACTGGTACCTTCTCACTCAGGATTTACAACCTGCATCCTCACCAACATCTGGCTGGATGACAGCACCCAGAGAGGCAGCCTGGCCCAGACGATGTGTGAGCTCAGGCCGCACTTCGATTTCCTGATTGAGTCATGCAGGATCGGAATGGCCAAGCCTGACCCTCAGATCTACAAGTTCGTGCTGGACGTCTTGAAGGCCAGCCCCAGTGAGGTACCTAGACACTGCCTTTCAGTCGAAAAGAATGTTCTAGAGATATTGCAATCGAGAAAAATTGAGGAGGCGTGAAGAGATGGGGGACACCTGGGACCTGGCAGGGTGGTCCTACGTCCAGTGGCAGGTGCCACTTCTCCCAGGCCAGGACTTCTGAAGGGCTTTTACCCACCACTTCAACCTAGAAAGTTCTACCGGAGGTGGGCATCTGGCTCCTCTCTGTGGCTCTTACAGGACCTTGTTTAAAACAGGTATTGTCAAAAGCTGCCAGACCAGCTGCCTCAGTTTACCTAAAAGAAACATAGACCCTGGGAGACTTTCCCAAGACACAGGCTGGTCAGGGTCACCCCACCAAAGGCTGGGCAGGAATGGGCTCCAGTACTGCAGAACTCTCCTTGTAGGGGTATCCCCGCACCCCTAAATTCTGTCTTCATGCCGTCTCTAGATTATCTAGTCTAAAATGTTGTTTTTGTTGTGTTTCCCTACTCCAATCTCCAAAAAGGCCTTTGGACCAAGATGAAATTCCTTTCTCTGGCATTTCTGACCCTTTCTTGTTAACCCTGCTTCACCCACAAGCTGATCAGAGGGAAATCCTTACCTGTTCAATCCCAGAACTCTTCCCTTCTCCTCTCAAACTTTGCTTCTGCTCTTCTCAGCCCCCTGATTAAGCATTATAACAGTGCTCTGAATTTTAGTATGCATATAAATAAATGTCTTTTCATTGATGGCTTTTAGGTTGGATGAGCTGCTTAGACAACCAGACCTGCCCTAATCCAAGATTATAAATAACTGCCCCATGCTTTCTTCTACAACTTTAAGGATTTTCTTTTTTTCTTTAAGGATCATTTCTTTTGACATTTAAATCTTTGATTTATTCAGAATTTATTTGGGGAATAAGTGACGGAAGGACCCACTTTTTCCCCCAAACTGTTGAAATAATTTAATAATCTTTTAAATAATCTTTTTCCTCACCAATTGGGCATGACACTTTTATTAGAAACTAAATTTTCATTTGGATATGAGTCTATTCCTCGACTCTCTGTTTTATTATCTGACTTTATTATAGTTCTTTTCCAGACATTTTTTGGGGGGTCTATTCATACATTTTCCTAGATGAATTTTAATGTCATCCTGATAAGTTTATATTCTTCTTTAATCTTTTTACAGTTTCAGAATTCAGTGAACATGTATATCTATCTGTGTGTTTATGTTTATGCTTATGTAATTAAATGTTTTTAATTTTAAGAGTAAAGAGTTACATGGAGAGAAAAAAATAATTCTTAATCTCTAATCGATCAACCTTATTGTGAGATTATTAATTCTTAATCTCAACCGCTGTTCTCACTTTAACGTGTTTCTGGCCAGTGGCCCTTGTGCATGAGTTTTGCTTTGGTAGAAGTGATGCTAGTATCCATGCTCTTTGCATTCAGGTGGTTTTCTTGGATGACTTCGAAGTTAATCTGAAGCCGGCCCGTGACCTGGGGATGGTCACCATCCTCGTGCGTGACACTGACACTGCCCTGAGGGAGCTGGAGAAAGTAACCGGGGTGCAGGTAACTTTCTGTCCACTCTGAGTCAGATTTCCTGTCGCTCATCTGTGTTTAGGTACGCAAGCGACAAAGCAAGTGAGGGCGTTCACTGCTCCCGGTGTGGTTCCCAGTAGGGAGCTCCTCGGTGGGAGACCGTTACCCTTAGTGCAATCAGCATGATGTCCATGAAGAACTTCCTGTTTCCTTCTCTGCAGTCAGTGAACAGGAAAAGGACACTCTGAGAGCAAGAATCTATACTGGTCAGACTCAGAGGACCAAGACTAGAGTGGGGCCTTCAAAGCCACCCATTCAGAGTAAATACTGAGAATGTAGCTGCTGGGTTTGCCCCTGGGGTGTGGAGGGGGGCCCCAGTGCTTCTCTGCTCTGCCTGGTCATGCTGCTTGCACTCAGATGTAGTGGTTTAGCTCCACCTGGGTCACACCCTCTTGGCAGTCAGAGGGAAGGCTCCTGAGTAAACCTGTCCTGAGCCCAGGAGGCTGGGCTGCCCGTAATAATGCCCCTGGGGGCTGATGGGATTAGCCTGCTGTGCCAGAGCTCTTGTTCTTGTAATGTTACCTAAGATCACTGATCCCACTGAGTCTGGGAGTGACAGTTTCGTAGGCTTTTGTAGGCCATGCTTTGCTCGTGTCAGTATGATGGGAAAGGAGGTGCGGGAGCCCATACACTTGATTGACGTAAAAGGCGTCACACTGTTTTTCCAAAGGGAACTATATTAGCTTCCTACGGCTGCCAGAAAGTAGCACAGACTTGGTGGCTGAGACAGCAATCTCTCTAGGAGTCCAGAAGTCTAAGAGCAAGTTGTTAAGGGTTGGTTTCTTCTGAAGGCTTCTTGCTGTGTCTTCACACGGTCTTCCCCTGTATGTGTCTCTTCTTGTAAACACACCAGTCAGATTGGATTCTGTCTCCAGTAGGTCCACTACAGGGGCGTCATTTAAGGTTCGTCACCTCTTTAAAGACCTTATCTCCAAATATTAGTCACATTCTGAGGTCCTGGGGGTTAGGACTTCAGCAGACGCATTTGGAGGGCACACAGTTTTGCCCCCATAACAGGAACAGCTGACTTTTCGTCTTTAACAAATAAATTAAAACGTATATCTAATGACTCTACAACCTTAGAGCATCGCACCCAAGCTTGATTTGTCCTTCTGCAAGCCTGGAGGTCTTGTGCAGCAGAGAAGGAAGCATCCAAACTTGGAATCGGAGCATCCTTTTGCCAGTTCCACTTACCAGGTTCCTCCCCTCATTACCTCTGAGCCACAGACACCTGTCCTGTAAAATTGGGAAAGTGAGCCATTGTCCCACCTACCTTTTCCTCAGGGATATGGGGAAGGTATAAGGAAAAATGATAATCATTTCGTTTTAAACAGAGGAGAAGCGCCTCTTGTCTCTCAGGAAGGCTGTGGGAATCAGTCATAAATGGGCTTTATAAACTGGACAAACACATGGCAGAATCATTAGAGTAGGAAACCTGCACCCTCCCCACCCCTGGAACCAATGGGACATCCCCTGGTGTGTGACCTAGGAAGTCGGGGACACATCAGATAAAGGACCCCAGGGTACGCTGGCCCTGGTGGGTGTCTGGGCTCCTTCACTGCCGTCAGAGGCACCCAGCTGCCTGTCCCCACGGGCCACACCCTGGGTCCTCTCCAGACGCCACAGAGGTGGGCGCCCACCTATCTCAACCTCTGAGGATGCCCAGGAAGACTCTTCCATGTTTCGAAGTAGGTGAATTCCATAGCCTACTCCTCCGCATTTTAGAGGGCAGAAAACTGGGTAGCGGAAGAGAACGGCTTCTTCCTTAGGTCTCACGTTTAGGACTAAAGATGAGAAGTCAAACGGTGGGAGTCACCAACATGATGCTGTTCACAAAAGGCCCACTTATATGTGCTCAGCATCCTGTCCTTTGTCATTTCTGTCTCAAGGAAACCGACACCAATACATTACGGAAGCTTCTTAAGGATCCTTTGCTCAGGCATTTTCCTGTTTACCGAGATGGACAAAGATGGGTAACCTGACCCCCCTGGGTCTCCAGAGGACAGAACTGGGGCCGGCAGGCAGAAGGCTTTCATCAGCTGAATTGCATCTCGCCCACCAAATTCATATGCTGAAGCCCTAACCCCCAGGACCTCACAATGTGACTGTATTTGGAGATTGGATCTTTAAAGAGGTATTTAAGGTAAAATGAGGTCATAAGGGTGGGCCCTAATCCATTAAGACTGGTGTCCCTATAAGAAGAGGAGATTAAGACACAGACACACACAGAGGGAAGGCCATGTGAGGATACGGGGAGAAGACGGCCGTCTACAAGTCAAGGAGAGAGGCCTCAGGAAGAACCAACCCTGCCAGCACCTTCTTGGACTTCCAGCTTCCAGAAGTGTGAGAAAACAAATGTCTGTTGTTTAAGCACCCCGGTCTGCGGCACAGTGTTGTGGCCGCCCGAGCTGACCCATACAAGGCCCGGAGAGTTCTATCTTGGCCGACTTGAAGAAGAAACCCTTCAACAGAGTCATGTAATGATGGGATGACTGCTCTGTGAACTTGGCATTCCTGGCTGTGTCCAGCATAAGCCTGGGTGACCACTTGAGGAACTGCCCTAGAGAAGAATTATATTCATTAAAGTCCAAAATCTCAGTGTTTGGGAGCAAGTGGTGTTTATTCCTCGCAGATGTGAAATTCAGTGGGTGGTGGCCAGGGGCTTGCCTCACAGCCATTCTAGGACCCAGGTTGATGGAGAACCCCCCGTCTTCTATTGGTGGTTTCTGAGGTCACGCTGAACACCAGATGAAAAGGGGGAAAAGAATATAGAGAATCATGTAGGGATTTTCACAGCTCTGGTGGTCAGGCCATGCTTTTCTTTTTTTAAATTTTATTTTAATGCATTTTTAATATTCTTTACCATTATGGTTTATCACAGGATATTGAATATCATTCCCTGTGCTATACAGTAGGACCTTGTTGTTTATCCATTCTAAATGTAATAGTTTGCATCCACTAACCCCAAATCCCCAATCCATTCCTCTCCCTCCCCGCCTCCCCCGTGGCAACCACAAGGTTGTTCTCTATGTCTGTGAGTGTGTTTCTGTTTTGTAGGTAGGTTCATTTGTGCCATATGTTAGATTCCACATATAAGTGATATCACACATATGGTATTTGTCTTTCCCTTTCTGACTTACTTCACTTAGTATGATCATCTCTAATGGCATAGGCCATGCTCTTTGTCTGCATCCTGTTGGCCAGAACTCAGTCACCGGACTCCACTGACCCTAGAGGAGAGGGGGCTGGGTTGGTCAGTCACCCATAGGACTCAGGAAGCCATGGCAAAGGTGACCCAGGGGCTGTCTTATGGAGTTTTGTGAACTCACTCTGAGGCCTTCTCGTGGAAGGAAGCAGAGCCATCTGCCTCACTGTGTCTCTCTTACTTTCAGCTTCTCCAAACTGCAGCCCCCCGACCGATCCCCTGCGATCCAAGCACCGTGAGCCATGGGTACGTGCCCATAAAGGTGAGTCAGCGCTCTCTCACCAGCAGCTGAGTCTCTCTAACCAGCCCCCCTAAAACGACTTGTGAGACGTTTGTGAAATCTCAAGGGTAGCTACACATCCATCATGTATATGGAAATGGTATTTCCCACAAATATGGTTCCTCAAAAATCAATAGCAGGGCTTCCCTGGTGGCGCAGTGGTTGAGAGTCCGCCTGCCAATGCAGGGACACGGGTTCGGGCCCTGGTCTGGGAAGATCCCACATGCCGCGGAGCGGCTGGGCCCGTGAGCCATGGCCGCTGATCCTGCGCGTCTGGAGCCTGTGCTCCGCAACAAGAGAGGCCGCGACAGTGAGAGGCCCGCGCACCGCGATGAAGCGTGGCCCCCGCTCGCCACAGCTAGAGAAAGCCCTCGCACAGAAATGAAGACCCAACACAGCCAAAAATAAAATAAATAAATAAAAATTTAAGAAGCTAAAAAAAAAAAAAAAATCAATAGCAGACGCGGACCAATGTGGTCAGACTCCCACGGAACAAAAGGCCACGTGGGGCCTTGCTCTGTCCCCACAGCCTGCATGTCTGGCACTTTATTTCATTATTTCATCCAGCGGGTGTTATTGGCCCTTCCTTTGTGTCAGGCACGGGCCAGATAGGGATGCAGGGAGGCACCAGATACAGAGAGGGAAATGCCCAGTCATTAGCCCAGGGGTCAGGGCTGCAGCAAGACCAAGGCCACCTGCAGAGGGGCCCTGACTCCTGACCCAGCGGGATACAGAGCAGGGCTTTAAAACATCTTCTCAGGTTCACTTTGGGATCTTTCTTCATTTGTCACTGTGGCCATCTAACTAAGACAGGACCTAAAGCTACGGGTTAGCTCCCAAGCAAAACAAAACTCAGCAGTTGCTTTGGAGCCGGGTGGAACCAGTTTCAATCCTGGCTTTGGCACTTACTAAGTTGGCAAACGTGGGCACATTTCTTATCATTCTGGACCCCAGTGTACACAGCTTCATAATGAGCTGGCGATAATACCTCCCCTCAATGTTCTTGTAAGGATTAATTGAAATACCCCGTGTTGATCACCTCGTGCTTCATAAAGAGGAGAGCTGGTGTCCTGAGCTGTGCAGGTCTGGGACCTGGGGAGGACCTGATGCCCCGGAGGAGAGCCCCATGGATGTTCAGTGAGCATCTGCTATTTGCTAGGCACAGAGAGAAATACCTAGATGAATGGAGGTCTTCTGTGACCTCAAGGATTGTACGGCCTGCCTTCTGCCAAGGTAACATTCCCTGCAGTTACATCACAGGATGCGGCCCTAACGGCAGTGGCTCAAGCGCTCAGAATGGGCTCTGAAGGGGGTGGAGAAAGTGACTGTAATTGCGGGGGATGAGATTCAGTGGTGAGGTGAGCATCAGAGGATGAGTGGGATTTGGATAGTGAGAAAGGGCTTTTCTGGTCAACGTGGCTGCGCTTAGAACCCTGGGTGCTCCTGGACCAGTTTCATAAGGTTTCATAAGCCCCCTTCAGACCTCGTCTCTAATGTTGATGCCGAGTAAGGGGCTCTTTGCCTGGGGCTGGGGTCTGTCTGGGCTGTGACCCTGCATCTCCAATCCTACAGACAGGGTTACTTTCATAATCCTCCTGATGCTTGCGTATCCAGCCAGTTTCAGTAGATTCCCCATTTGACCTTGAAGGAGTGTGATCAGAGCTGCCTAACCACTTCCTCTGCCCTCACCCCAAAACTAAAGGGCTGGGGCAGTGGCCTCTGGGGAGCCCAGGCTCTGGGAGTGCTATTGCCTTGATGCTAATGCAACTCAAAGTGTGTCGATAATAGGTCTTTTCAGTTTTCTGGCTTAACGGCAATTTTAGAGCACACTGTTCAAAGGATGGGAAAGTGCATGCATTTGCTGAGCTACTCAGCTGAATCAAATATCTAGCAGCAAGAACGAGCCTTCTAGTTAAGATCCATTGAGGACAGAGGCGGATTAGGATCATTTGATTGGACATCAGAACTATAACATTTTTCAGTATAAAGGAGCATAGAATTTAAAGTTCAAGTCCCTCCTTTTGCCAAATACTAAAGGGAAGACTAGAGAACATATTCTGATTAAAAAAAAAGACTGTAGTCCAAGAAAGGGTTTGTGAAATGTCAGCCCAATGTTTTCTTGAGCGGAATAGCTTGTTGGGAATTGTGAATGAAACTTCCGGTTTGGAACGCCAGCTTGGAGTAGTGTGAGATGCAGCGAAACAGAGTTGTTCCAAGTGGATTTCTATAAAGTGAAGCTTATTTTTCTCATTTGTTTCCACTAGAAGGTTAGAGATGAAGTACTTTGGGGGAAAAATAGGGTACTTTGACTATATATTGCTTTAGTTCTTTTGCTTAGACCCGCCTGTAATAGTCAGAGTAGGCTCAGTGCTGTAACAAACAGCCCCACACTTTCAGTGGCTTGACTCCAAGTTTGTTTCTGGCTTGCAGCACAATCCCATGTGGGTTGGGAGTAGGCTCTCTCCTCGCAGTCATTCAAGCACCCAGGCTCCTCCTTTCTGCAGGTTCTTCCTTCCTCAAGGCCCAGTCCATTCAGGTGCAGATAGGAAAAGAGAGGGAGAACCAGGTGCGCGGGAGGTTTACGGCCCAGATGGGGCACACATTTCTTCTGCTCATATGCCACTGGCCAGTCACGCGGCCACTGCAGGAAGGTTGGGGGAGGCCTGGAAAATACCAGCAGGAGGCAAGGAGAAGAGAAGAAGGTGGATATTGGGCCCCGGCAGTCTTGGCCATACCCACGTAGCCCACAAAGGACCGGAAGTATAGCAAAGCTGGAAAAAATGTTCATATTCAAGAGCTAAACAGCTTTTAATGAAATAATCATGGTATTCTGCACCTTCATGTGAATACCATGCCCTGTACAAAATCAGCCTCCAGTTTAAAGTGTGGAAAACATGTCAAATGACAGCAGAAACTCTGACAGGATGAGGGCCTTTTAGGGAGGAAGGCCAAGTTGTTTTGTTTTCCAACATTATGATCTTCTTTTCAGGCTCTTGTTCCAGTAAAACTGCCTGTTTTTATGGCACAGTTCGATCACGTGTCTCTTCTCAGACATTTTCTTCTAACATTGGTGGGTTTTTAGCTGAGAAAGCTGGGTCAGGCACGATCTGGCAACGTATTGAAATGGCCCGGGGCGATCTGCGGAAGAGGTGCCTGGTTACCCCCGGCCTGCGCTGAGGTCACTCCCCGCTCACCTCTCTCTTCTACAGCCTGGGATGTGTCTGCATTTTGTGGAGCTGGGCTCTGGCCCTGCCGTATGCCTCTGCCACGGATTTCCGGAGAGCTGGTTCTCTTGGAGGTACCAGGTAAGGGAAACTGGGGCAAGTACGCCCCAGTCAGGGTGAGGGGAGAGAAGTGTCTAGATGGTGTGAGCCAGCCTGGAATATCATTAAGAAGCTGACACCTTACTGTGGAGCATCATCTCCCAAGTATGACCACGATATCTCTGAAATGTTGGGGCCGGAGATTGCTCCAGAGCTCAGATCTGTGCTAGCCTATATGCCACCTTTGCAGATTAAAAAACGCGTACTTCCTCAAGATGCTTTATGCCACCTGCTGGGACATCTCTGTAATGAATATAGAAATCTGCAAGGTCTTGGCTAGGAAAGGTGCTCTGTCAGGTGTGGCATTAGGTGCAGGGCACAAACCCTACGACCGTCCATGGCAGCCGGGTGGGCTCATTCCAGCCCCATGGTGAGGACACCAGGTAGTGCCACGTGGCACTTTGAATTGAACCATTTACAATAACAGGGAGATAGAAGGAAGCAAAGAGGTGACGTCAGCAAAACACTGATGAGCCCACACTGGAGAGGGTCTGAATTGTTTCTTTTCCAGATCCCTGCTCTGGCCCAGGCGGGCTTCCGGGTACTAGCGGTGGACATGAAAGGCTACGGAGAGTCATCTGCTCCTTCTGGTGGGTTAGCTGTTTTACAGCTGTCGGTGTTGGTCATGCCTTCTGCCTGTCTGAGTTCTCCAACTGCACTGTCTTCCCCTGGTCCCAGGTCAGAGCAGGCAGCCCTTCAAGGGGGTCTGACTTCCCCCTCCCTTCCCAGCTCCTGCAGTGTCTGTGTCTGTGCACTTTGGGCCCCAGAGGTCTCTCCTCCTCATACTCTGAATGAATTCAAGAAACCCAACGGCCTGTGCCCCAAGGGGGTCTCCTGCTAGTCATTGAGGATATAGGATGTAGGAGGTACCATCCCGCTCCAGAACTATTTTCATCTTGGAGAACTGAAACTCTGTACCCATTAGACAATAACTCCCCATTCTCCCTCCCCTCAGCCCCCAGCAAGCACCCTTCTGCTCTCTCACTCTATAAATTTGACTAGCCTGGGTACCTCATCTAAGTGGATCATACAGTATTTATCCTTTTGTGACTGACTTACTTCACTTAGCAAAATGTCTTCAAGGTTCATCCATGTTATAGCATATGTCACAATTTCCTTCCTTTTTAAGGATGAATCATATTCCGTTGTATGTATAGACCGCGGTTTGTTTATCCATTCATCCATCGATGGATACTTGGGTTGCTACTGTGAATACTGCTGCTATGAACATGGGTGTACAAATATCTCTTTGAGTCCCTCCTGTCAGTTCTTTGGGGTATATACCCAGAAGTGGAACCGCTAGATCATATGGTAATTCATAGGCCAGATTCTTAACCCAGCGTCTGTGGATCCCAGTGGGAGTCTATCCAAGGATGGGTGTCAGGGACCTGTGAACCCTTGAGAACATGTGTGGGTCTATGAGCGTTTTCCTTGGGGAGGGGGGAGTCCATTGTTTTTATCCGTTTCAGAGGGATTCTCAGCCCCAAACCTTTAAGAACCCTGGGTGGAGGCAGGAATGGGAAGCAGCCAGGTGTGCAGCAGGGTCGCTGGTCCTTCCGTGGTCAGTGATGCTCTGAGCAGCTTAGCAAGCCAAGCAGCAGCTCACCACCCCTTTTCTGAGCTGCTTCGGCTGCGTGCACGTCAGGCCTGTCGTGTTGAGTTTGAAGCCCGCTGACGTGGGCTGGGGCTCTCAGTCACTCAGGAGGCCACCACCAGGCCACTCAGCCTGTCATGACAGAGATGCGCTTCCATGGTTGTTCCCTAAATGTCATGGTGTCGACTCAGCTGCTCCTTACTGCCTCTTGAACAATGCAGAAGCATTTTAGACAAAAGGAAGGACTTCAGTCCAAATATTCAGGAAAGACATCTAAGGTGTTTTTTTTAAAATTTCATTATTTAAATGTTTATTTTTATTTATCTGTACTGCAATCTTCCCTGAATCCCCTGGGCATTACTTAGTAATATAATTTATCATTCAAACTACAACACTATTAAAAGAGAAACTATTAATAATAACACGTAAACTAAAACTGTCCTGGACAAACTGGGACTTATGGTCATACCCTAATTATGAAATGCATATATGTACATTTCAGATCATTTATATACAAATTTCAGATCATTTGGCAGTAGATTTTAAGTAACAAATTATTTTCCCTTAAAATTATGAAGCCTTTGTCCTAGTATTTTCTAGCTTCCCTTGTTGCTATACAGCATTCCAGTGACATGGTACCTTTTTTCCTTACCCTTGAGATTTTTAGGATCTTTATCTGTTGTGTTCTAGAATGTCATGATATTGTGCTATGATATGGGTCTTTTTTCATCTACTTTTCTGGGTACATTTAACTTTCAGTTCTTGGAAATTTTCTTGAATTATTTCTTTGAAAATTTTTTTCTCCTGTTTTCTCTGTTTTTCTTTCTTTTTCTTTTCTGGAATTGCTATTACTGGTAAAATGTCCATACTGCCCAAAGCAATCTACAGAGTCCATGCAATCCCTATCAAAATCCCAATGACATTTTTTACAAAAATAGAAAAAACAATTCTACGATTCATATGGATCCACAAAAGACTACAAATAGTCAAATCAATCTTAAGAAAGAACAAAGCTGGAGGACTCATACTTCTTGATTTCAAAATACATTACAAGGCTACAGTAATCAATACAGTATGGTATTGGTATAAAGACAGACATACACGCCAATGGAATAGAGAGTCCAGAAATGAACCCTTGTGTATCTGGTCAGATAACCTTCAACAAGGGTGCCAAGGCCACTCAATGGGGAAAGGACAGTCTGTTCAACAAATAATGTTGTAAAAACTGAATATCCATATGCAAAATAATGAAATTGTACCCTTATCTTACACCATCCACAAAAAACAACTCAAAGTGGATTACAGGCTTAAACTGAAGACCTGACACTAAAATTCCTAAATGAAAACATAGTGGAAAAGCTTCATGATGTTGGTATTCGCAATGGTTTCATGGATATGACACCAAAAGCACAGGCAACAACAACAAAAATAAACAAGCAGACTATATCAACCTAAGAATTTAATAAGATATTTTTTTTTTGCCAAAGGGGCTCTTTTAGTTTTCTGGTAATTTTTAAACATGCAAATTAAGTGTATTTCTTTTATTTTTAATTGCAGAAATAGAAGAATATTCCATGGAAGTGTTATGCAACGTAAGAAGGATTTTTGGGTAACATCTGTAACTTCTTCTCCATCCTTGTGTTTTCATTGATATAAGACAGAAGTGTGGGTGTTCATTTAAATCCTAGGAAAGCAGCATTTCACAACATTTGGGTACAAATTCTTTCTGAAAGTCGAAGTATTTTGAAATAATAGCCATCGTTGACTGTATATCAAGTACTTTTCTAAGTATTTGATGGAAGAGGAAACTGAGTCATGGGGAGGTTAAGTAATTGCCTGAGGTCAACAGCTTGTAGAGCCAGGTTTAAACCCTGTAGTAGCTCCCATGCTCCTGCTCTTAGCTACCCCACCATATCACCTTTCCCTTCTGAGAATTTAAAAAAATCACTTTATTGTGGTAAACACATTGTTGGCCAGACCTAGGGAGTTAGTGTGTGGACTGGGGACTGCAGAGGCATTCCTGTTCTAAGATAGGCATATGCACCATCGGGGAGAGGGACCCTCATCTTAGAGCTTGCAGGGGAAGGCCAAGGCTGAGGTGAGGAGAGACTGTCACCCAAACCTCCATCAGCCCTGGAGCAAAAGCAAAGGCTGGAGGGACCAAGAGGAAGAAACAGCCTCCCGCTTGGCCAGAAAACTGGCGATGCCAGTGATTATGCTAAAATTACAGAAAGCCTTCATCTAGGAGGGTCACATTTCTGCCTGGAGCACCCCATCAGGCCCCACATGCAGGCTTGATGTCTCGTAAGGGGAGCGTGGGACTTGTCCGTGCTTGGACAAGTCTGAGGAGCCAGTCTGAGAACCCCAAAGTTAAAGGAATAATAAAGAAAGAAGAAAGCAGAGAGATGCTATGAATAAAACTGTAGTGCTGAGGGAGTGGTTTGGACAACATCAGCTGGGGGTCCTAGAAGGAGAAGGTAAAGACGTCCCTGCACCTATTTAATTTCCCCCATTCCTCCTTAATCGCTTCTCTCACTGATGGGGGTCCCAGCTCACCTCAACCACTGTAGCTGGACCACAATTCTGCACCCTTCATCCCTTAGAGACCCTCTTACATCAGACAGTCTGTTGGTTCCTCATCGGGAACCTCACTTTGCACATTATAGGATTTCTGGGAAACCCTCAGCTAAATTCCCCATTAGTGTGTACATTAGTCGGCTTGGGCTGACATAACAAGGCACCACAGACCAGGTGGTTTAAACAACAGAAATGTGTTTCTCACAGTTCCGAGATCTGGGTGCCAGCAGGGTCAGGTTCTGGTGAGCACCCTCTCCTGGCCTGCGGGTGACCACCTTCTCACTGTCTTCACATGGCAGGGAGAGAGAGCCGGCTCTCTGGGACTCTTCTTATAAGAACGCTAATCTTATCAGGTCAGGGCCACACCCTCATGACCTCATTTAACTGTAATTACTTCTGTAAAGACCCTGTCTTCAAATACAGTCACACTGGGAATTAGGGCTTCAACATAGGAATTTTGAGGGGACACAGACATTCAGTCCATATAACAGAGGGTTCCAAAGACCTCCTGACACCATTCAATAATTGTTCCCCTCTCTTTGGGGGGGAAGATGAAAATAAATGATTGAAGTGAATTACACCAATACTGTGAGCCTCCTTCTAAAAAAATATGTGTGTAATTTCACCAATGGCACCTGTCATCTGTGCTTGCTTTTTTTTCCCCCTTAGTTTATTATAAAAGAGAAACATGGAAATTATTTACATGATGAAAAGATTTCAGAACTTCAGTGGAATGGGCAGCCTCAGTGATGCCATTTCAATAGTGACTTATTTCAGTCTATGTATTTTCCAAGAATGTCACCATCTCTAAATAAGAAGTAATCCTTGTCATCTAGAACTACTTTGGTGCATTCATATTCTGGGAAAAGAACTTCATCTCCAACTTTCATGCTAACTAGTTGAATCTCTCCAACCTTTCCTTTAGAGCCCGATTCAACAGCAACTACTGTTGCTTGCAATACTTTTCCTTGAGTATTTTCTGGAAGCATAATGCTTCCTTTGGATACATGTTTGGCTGCACTTCTTTCAACTAATACTTGGCCAAAGAAGGGAAGAAACTTTCTAAATGCCTGTCCTGCCATGACTCCAGCCACTGCAGTTCGTACTCTGCTCTCATGCCACTGCTGCCAGGAGGGGCGTGCAGTCTGGCCCTCTGGACATATCTGTTGTTGCCTTTTTTTTTTTAATTAATTAATTAGTTTATTTATTTATTTTTGGCTGAGTTGGGTCTTTGTTGCTGCGTGCCAGCTTCCTCTAGTTGTGGCGAGCAGGGGTTACTCTTCGTTGCGGTGCACAGGCTTCTCATTGTGGTGGCTTCTCTTGTTGTTCTTGTCTTTCCTCTGTATGTGTCTGTGTCCAAATCTTCTGTCTTATATTGGATCAGGACCCACCCTAATGACCCCATTTAACTTAATCACATCTTTACTTAAGATCCTATCTCCAAATAGAGTCACATTCTGAAGTACCAGGGGTTAGGGTTTGGGCTTCAGCATATGAATTTCGCGGGGGGGTGGGGTGGGGAAGGTGGGGGACACAATTCAGACTGTAACCAAGGCAAACACAGTCATTCTAACCTCGAAGCCGCTGAGGTGATGGATACAGTTCTGATTTTGTGTGTGTGTTTTCTTTCTTAGGACATGGTCACCTTCCTGGATAAGTTGGTAAGTAATTATTTTGAACTCATCTCTTTGGAGAATTCTGTTTGGAAGTGGGCAATTAAAGAAAAGCTGTGACCTTTGAAGGTGTCAGCTGTTAGAGCCCTGAAGGGAGTGGTATGGGAGGGGGAGGGTGGGGTGGTGGGTCGGAAGGGATTATAAAGACAGGTTTGGAGAATATAGAGGTGAGATTGGTTTGGTTCTTGTTTCATGAAAAGCATCTTCCAGGGGATAGAATGTCTCTGTTGGCTTTAAGCCAGATGAAGAGCCTTAGTGCCAGCTGAAGAAGATTGGGAAACATCCGATAGGCTAATACTTCCCAGCTTCTTAAAACTTCCATCCCTTTTGACATATTTAAAATCGAATGTCTTCGTTTAACATGGTTTGGAATGTCAAACTCAATGAAAACGATCAACAGTGGTCATCTGAGAATACACTGCCGCAGAGCACACACACTCTTCTGAGACTCAGGTACATCCTCTGCCACCTTCAGTCAGGTCACGTGGCAGAAGGGAGACACCGCAGCATGGCTGAGGGGGCAGAGGGCCCAGCCAGGACAGTGACAGTACAGGGGGGCTGAGATGACGAAGGAGTTCCAGATCTACAGCAGGGCCTGGTGTAGGACGTGCGGTAACAATGTCATGTCCCATCCTCTGCAGATTCTCAGTCCTGTGGAACTGGCTTTGGAACTTTTGAGTGTGATGGGGATAGCTAAGGCCCAGTGTGGCCGCCCCACTCCTGACTTTTTCTAGAAGATTTCCAACTGGCTGGGAACGTCTCTTATTCTGATGGTTGAGAGGGAGTCTCTGTGGTTGCTGGCCAGCTGGGTCAGGTGTCCGTCCCCGGCCCAGTCATGACTAGGATATGTGGGAAGGAGACTGGGCCAACCTGGATGACCTGGGTGACCAGATGAGGTGGTCATTTGCCACCTGGAGGTGGTGCCTGAAGCCTTTGGAGGAGATGAGCTCCCCAACGACAGGCCTGAAGGCTGAGCCATGGAATAGTCCCAAGTGAGAGGTAGAGAGAGGGAGTCGTAGACTCAGGGAAGTAAGAAGAGTCTGGAAAGCAGAGTTTCACAGAAGCCCAGGGAAGAATGTTTCAAAGGAAATGCCTCATGCTGCTGTTGACTAAAAAAAAAAGCACACCCTAAAGGTTGAGAATTGTGTTTTATGTGGTGGACAAACTGAGGACGTAAGCCCGATACAGCATCTCAGATAGCTCTGAGACTGCTTCCAGAGAGGTAAGAGAGGAGGCAGGATATATAGCAGTTTCTGCAACAAAGTCTAGGTAGTCGGAACATCAAAAGATTACTCTTAATTAAAGAAAACCACGTATCTCAAGTTAAGGAATTTAGCATTTTTCTCTGTATTGGAAGGTGCAAGAGTCTGGGCTCATAGAAATCATTCCTTCGACATGCACCTCTGCTAGCTGGGGCCGGTATCCTGCTTTTCTCCATCCTGAATCCCCTCCGGGTGCCCCATTGAGGGTGGCTGCAGTGACTGAGGGCTTGGCAGTGGGCAGCCTGTTTGTCTCCATCCTGAGTTCCCTGAGGGTTCACCAGCGGGGTGACTGCAGTGACTTGGTGGCTGCAACATCCTTTGTTTACTGATACGCCAGGCAGCATTTTTTTCACTCACACTGCAGAACAATCGGAAGAATGAGAACCAAGAGGGGAACAAAATTATTAGTGATTAGTAGCCTTAAAGAGAGAAGTTTCAGTGGACTTGGGCGTAGCAGGGAAGAAGCCACTGGAGGGACTTAGGAAGGTCGTTAGGGAGGCACCTGATATAAACCATTGTGAAAAGCGGGAGAACACAGGCCACGGAGTGTGGCAGAGAGCTGAGGCAAGGAACCACCTTTCCAGCTCCTTTCCAGCTGGTGGTGGGGCCGGGGCGGATCGGAGGCCCTAAAGCGCCCAGCGGGTGGCATAGAGGAGGGAGCCCTAGTTTAGGTTAGGAGACCTGGGTCTGAATGGCAGTTCCCCCATTTACCATCCGTGCAGCCTGGGCAAGTCACCCGCCCCCTGTGAGCCATCTTTTCATTTGTAAAATGTGAGTTCGAAGGTTACTGGGAGGATTCCAGATAAAGGGCCTGTGACACAGAAGATCCTGCCTGAAGGGAGCTGTGGTCGTTCGTGGTTACAGCAGCAGAGGAGAGGAAGGCGCAGGGAGAAGTTGGGAGGTAAAGGATGCTTTTGAGGCGTGTAGAAAAGATCCGAAAGAATGGGGAACAGAATAATAACCACTCAGTGAAAGATGAGCACGGAGGGGAGGGGCGGTGTCATTCTAACGTGAAGACAGAAGGGAGGAATGGAGGTGAAACAAAGTTTGATCTGTGGGAAGGTAGAGAGGGAATTCATGGCCAATGGCCTCAGTCTTCTGAGAAGATTTAAGAGGCCAGCCATTTGTGTGCAGGGTCGGCGGGGCCCGTACATGGGACCAGAGGCTTCAAGAGGGCGGGTGTTGGGCGTTGCTGCTGCGGTTAGGCCTAAGGGGAGCCCCAGGCCTCCGGCTCTCAGCATCCCATCTCCTGTCCCGGAAAGCTACTCACACTCAGCCCCCTTCTTTGTCCTTCTAGGGCATCGCTCAAGCTGTGTTCATTGGCCACGACTGGGGTGGCATGCTGGTGTGGAATATGGCTCTTTTCTACCCCAAGAGAGTGAGGTAATTAGGCCTCGGGCATCAAGAATTTGGGTCAGACTGGACTTGAATTCCCTAGACTCCTTCCTCAGGTCTTGAATTCCAGAAAACTTCTTGAAAACAATAGGTTATTACCTGGGAAGGTGACACCGTAGCTCCTTAGCTCATTGTGTATAAGTAGGGAGGGTTTAATGAGCTAACGTCTTGGGCACAAGGCCTGTCCCAATCACCAGTAATGCAACGAATAATTCAGGGCCTGTGTAGCCAGTGGGAATGCAGGAGAATGAGGGTGGGCTTTGAGGGGAGGAAGTGAGGCAGCAGGGGATGTCAGAGTCGTAGAACTGAGTGCCAGGAGACACTTTAGCCCTGGTCAGAGTCAGAAAATGTGGCTTTCACTTTTACCCTGAACTGGCTACGTGACAAATCACTTCACCCGTTAGGCCCTGGTATCTTCAACCACAAAGTGGTAATGGTCACTCCTACCCGACCCTTTGACCTGCAAAATACAGTAAAACAGATGTCAGGTTGGAATGATATGTCATGATCGCCATCACATCACTCATAATCATTCTCAGAATGACATTTCAGGGCACAAGTGGGAGCTTTCAGGTGATGGGTTTTGAACCTGGAGAGTCAGGTGGTCTTTGTGGCCACACCCCATTTGAGCTGGTAACTGCAGTTAAAGCCTGTCTGACCTCCCATTTCGGCCTCGGATCTTAGCAAATTAATTAAAACAGCATCCTTAGCAGCCATCTGTGTTTCCCTAACTAATCCAGTTACTTTTTATTTGGCTGAGTTTATAGGAATGGAAACGCTGGAGAAACTTTGTTCAGCTCAGCCCCAGCTCAAATGGTTGGATGATCTCAAAGACCAGAAAGAATCACACATTTCCTAAAGTATTTTTAAAGTTTTTGCACGCTGTTTCGATCTCTTTAGCTTCTCTCTCTGTCCTCTCTGTCATTCAAAAGTGAGATAAGAAAGCTCTTAAGAATCAAGTTCACCAAAAAGTTACCCTGCAGGCAGTGTTAGATGCTCCTTGAAGGGAACAAAAAGAAATAGAGCAACAACATATGGTTTCCACTTGTTGTTGTTTTATTAAACTTTATCTAGTTCTCCTGTGAGAATTTTAAAAGATTTAACGTGAGCCAAATGAGGTTGTGTGCAGAGTAACATCAGATCCGAGATGTGGGCGTGCTCTGGTTTCCCCGTTCCTCTTCTCCTGTGCTGTTTCCACCCTGCCTGCTGTTGATTCTGGAGTAGTTGCTCATTCCACGTCTGCTCTCATCAAAGCAGCCCTGTTACCTCCTTTCTGGGAGGGCGGGAGGGAGCTGAGACCCTCTCGCAGGGCTGTCCAGGATGGGACCCCGCATCTCTGGGTCTGGGAGCATGTTTTATTTAAGGATATTGCTAACAGCACAAATCTCTGCCTTTCTAGCCAGACAATGAATGAAAGAAAAAAAAAAGCCCACATTTAATGTGGAATATTTCTTGGAATCCTTGGTTTTGCCTTTCTACTGAAATAAGCTTTGGGAACCTATTTAAAATCTGGGTCTATTCACTTGTTTGTTTTATATCCTTTCTTTAACAATCACCTGGAGACGCTGCTGCCAGAAGGAGGCTGTGGTTCAGCTTTTTCTTCATCTTAATGCAGTTGGCAGCAGCATTTATATATTATCATCTCGTTTAGTGATGATTTTTTTATATATGGAATAAATGATATGTCAAAGCGATTAAAAAGAAAACCCCACTCTGTTCAGAATATTTAGTAAAAGCTAGAATTTCTTGACTTGTGATTTAAGTAATGCTTAAAATAGGTTCCCTGTGGTAGCATTAGGAACTTATAGGCATCAATATAACTTATTTTATACCCTAACCTGCACTGTCTAATCGTGGCTATTGAACTTTTGAAATGTGGCCAGTTTGAATTGAGATTACTGTAAGTAGAAAATACCTTCCAGATTCCAAAGACTTAGTATGAAAGAAAGAATGTAAAATATCTTATTAGGAATTCTTAATATTGATTACATGTTGAAATTATTAATACTTTAGATATATTGGATTCAATATTAAATTAACATTAAATTTAAAATTAAGTTAATTAATATTAAATAATATTTAAAATTAATCTCAAATGTTCCTTTTTTACTGGTTTTAATTTGGCTACTGGAAAAATTTTAATTATATATATGGCTTGCATTATATATATATATATATATTTTTTTTTTTTGCATTATATTTCTATTGGTTGGTGCTGGTTAAGCCTCACCAGTCCTTCCATTGATTGTTTTATTTGCCCTAATTATCCCATTGCTCCTATTTTATATATCTGTTTCTTTTCTGGGAACAAGTTTCCACAGGGTAAGCGTGGGATACGGAATTCTTTGCCGACCAGCCAGGCTAAATGTAGTCCTGGCTAACTTCTATCAATTCTGCCTTTGTGTGGTCTCTCCAATTCACCCTCTCTTCTATTCCTTTTGCTGCCATCCTCTTCCCCTCAGGATGACTAGTCGTCTGCTGGCTTCTCCCCCTCTGTGCATCCACGTGATGGATCGCTGCTTGATACATCACTTCCTGACTGCAGCTTCCATCCACTCTCACCTCTTCCCAGAAGCCTTCATGGCTTTCTTGGTTTTCTGCAGCTTCAAGTCCAGACTCAGGGCCCTTCATGTTCCCGGTCCCACGAGCCTTTCTGGCTTCATTTCCCAAGATGCCCCATTAAGCACTTGGCTTCTCGCCCTGTAGACTCCTCGCTCCATCAGACTCAACCCCAAGCTTTGCCTCATTCTAGAACTGGCTCAGACGACCTCATGATGTTTCCCTTGCAGGTATTGGTTCCCCTCCCCACCTCTCCCCCACCTGTAAAAGTCAAGTTCAAATGCTATCTCTTCCATAAGGTCTTCCATGATGCCCAAACCTAGAAATCCTTTATCTCCTTGAATTCCTGTGGTATTTTGTAGGAATTCCTATGCCTCATTTTGCAGTCTATCTCATAATATAGTCATGGGTGTATTTGACTCGCCTTCCTTATTAGACTATAAGCTCTTGGAGTATTGGTTTCATATTTTCTCTCCCCTAGTATGTGGCGTGGAATTACACTCAACACAGAGGAAACAGTGAGTGAAGGAAGGAAGAAATGACTGTGTTTTTACAAACCGGAGAAAGATTGTACTGTTCACGTATTGTAATCAAGGTGGATATACTGCACGTAACGTGCGTGTGTCTTTGTTGAAGGCAAGTAGGTGAGAAATACTGCAGTTTAGTGGCAAAAAAAAACAAAACAAAACACACACACTGGGCTGGAGAGTCAAGAAGTATGGTTTCAGGTCCCGTTCTCCCTGCACTGCTGGTGTGAGATCTTGTGTGTAGCACTCTCCCACTCTGAGCTTGGGTTCTGACACATGAGGTCCTTTCTGGTCCTTACAGACTGTCTTCTTATGGGGTCTGTGTCTTGACACCTCTTCTTTCCACAGGGCAGTGGCCAGCTTGAATACTCCCTTCATACCAGCAAATCCCAAAGTGTCCCCAATGGAGAGAATCAAAGCCAATCCTGCCTTTGATTACCAGCTCTACTTCCAGGAACCAGTAAGTCTGGGGCCCTGTGAGCAATGATCCCAGCAGGGTTTTGTTCTTCTTTTGCCTTCCTCTTTCCTTCTTCCCATTGATCGGACTTATCTCTGTCCCCTTGAATATTCTGTGGCTTTAATGAGAAGTGAGTTCACCGACGGGTTCAGGTGAAGCTGGCGCCAGAGCGGGGCTGGTCCTTCCCGGCTGACGGTGCATTTCTCTGTGTGTGTATTTGGGGTGATAAGGGGATTGAGGGGTGGGGATGGTGTGTGGGGCTCCCCTGCTTCTCTGAAATTGGGAAATGGGGGCCGAACTCTATTTTGGAGCCGCTTCTTCTCAATTCTCTGGCTGAGAGGCTGGTGAAACCCACCTCTTGGTGGTGACAGCTCCTGGCCTCCTGCCAGGGATTTGATATCTCTGCTGAGGAGTGACATCTGTGATTACAGAGAGTGGCAGAGCCTAAAAGCCCTGCATCAGGCCCCAAGCATCCTTTGAGAGGTGTGCAAGGTTTCTAGGTGTCACCATGTGCCACAGCTCAAGATGCCTTTCAAAGATGCCCACTGGGGTTTGGATGATGTGTGATGGGTGTGGCTGCCTCCTTTCACTGGATTCACTGAAACAGCAGCATCTGGCCTGGCTGCACCCCCCATAGCTGCCCTCATCTGTGGAGGGTACCTGCTCCTCTGTTCACGGGCCCTGGACCCCGATGCCCAGCTATGTCTGGGTAATTCCAAAGAGGATAAAAGATGTTTCCTAACACTCCAAAGAGAGAAGAATAGATCAGATTAATTGACAAAGAGCACGAGAGCATCTCATCACATCCCTCCTCCAGCCCTAGCCCGTCTGCTGCTCATAGGAGGTACCATTGCCAGCGAGGGTCACAGCCATCCCAGTTTTGATTTGGCGAGTAACTCTTCTCCAAGAATGATTTTAATTAGTAAGATGGTGGCTTGGAAGAGGAACTTCTTGATGCAAGCAATAATCTGACTCATTCAGTAAGACACCAGGCGCCTCCGGCAACGTCATGACAAGATGCTTGGGTATCACACCCTCCACTGAGGCCAGAGCCCCACTGCCACAGCCCAGAGTGTGGACAGCTAAAGAGCTTCCTTTGGCTTGAATTGAACCACAGTGTCTTGAATTAGTTTGAAGTAACCTTGATCTTGAGAGATAAAGATGATTTAGATGGTACATTAGTCAGCTAGGGCTGCCATAACCCAGTGCCACAGCCTGGGGGGCTTAAACAGGAAAATGTATTATCTCACTGTTCTAGGGGCCAGAAATCCGAGATCGAGGTGTCTGCACAGTTGGTTTCTTCTAAAGCGGTTCTCCTTGCTTTGTACATGGCCCTCTTCTTGCTGTGTCTTCACCGTGGCATTTCCTCTGTATGTGTGTGTCCCTGTCCAGATTTCCTCTTCTTATCAGGACACCAGTCACATTGGATCAGGCCCACCCTGATTACCTCATTTTACTTTAATTACCTCTTTAAAGACCTTACCTCCAAATACAGTCACGTTCTGAGGTACTAGGAGTTAGGACTTCATAGGAATTTGGGGGAGACACAGTTCAGCTTGGAACAGGTGGGGACCATGAGAAACTGACTTATTTGGAATGAGACCCGGGCTCATGGGACAGGAAGGAGGACGTGTCCCTGTGCAAGGCCCGGAAAGCAGCCCCAAGTTTGTAGTCGATGTCGGAATTAGTAAAGAGTTGTTGTAGGTTTAATGCTTATCGTAGGGGGCCCCCATCTAATTCTTTCGGCTGGACTAGAAGTCAGCATCCCAGACCAAGGTGCGATGCACTGCCTGTCACCCTTTCCCAGGTGTTTGAATCACTCAGGTGCATCTCAGACTGGTGAGAAGCATCTGGTGGTGGGAGAGAAATGAAGTGCTTGTTCTAGCTTCTTGAGTGGCAGCTGCCTCAGCCTTTAGGGATTGGGAAGGAAACAGCCCCAAATAAAACTGTGAAGCTGGTGTTTGGGTCCCTGTCACCTCTTAGCTGACCCTTTCTCAATCTCTGGCTCTGCTTGGTCCCCAGCCCCCAAAACCCAACCCCCTCCCACTGCCCTCTGTGTGCCCAGAGGATGCGACCCCGCCCAGCTGTGCCATCACCTCGAGTGCCCCATGCGTCAGAGTTGCTCTCACCTGTCTGCCTCCTCCCCTGGCCCAGCCCCCAGGCCCTGTGGATAGGTTACGACGGGCCCTTGACACTCTGGCTCCCACTGCTGTGGTACCACACATGCAGCAGAGGGAGAGGGAGGGCGTGGGGTTGTGTGCCCGTTTCTTTCTCTTCCACCTCTTTTTTCCATTTTCTTTCTTATCTTTTTGAATTGGACATTCGTAAGAAGACTCCTAACTGCTGCAAAACACAGGTGGCCCGCAATTGGGGGGAGGGCTGGAGCCTGACAAATCTGTTGAAATGTCAGAAATGTTTCGACCAGTGTCAATTGTAAAGAACTGGTTCATCCAGCAGGTAGCTCTGCACCATCTATTGTGTGCCAGTTTCGGGGGACATCTAGAGATGAGTGACAACTTTTGAGGGCTTAAACAACTCTTGGGGAGACAGGCACGTAAGAGACACCCAGGGAATAAGGCAGCAGAAAGGACTGTAATGGAGGTCCAGCTTACTCTGGGAGCCCACAAGAAAACACAGTTAACTTTCAGCAAAGGAAGGAGCATTTGAACTGGACCCAGGGAGGTGAGTAGGATTTGGGTGGGGGGATCTGAGAGAGAAGGGGCTGCCAGCCTGAGGGGACGAGTGACTGAAGATGCTTATGAAACCCCTTAACTCAGGGATAAATGTCATGAGATGAGAAAGAGAGGGTAACCAAAGAGTCAGTGACCCTTTAGGTGAACTTCAGAAGGTCTGGAACATCTGGAAACTGCCCCCAGAGTTTAATAGGCGCACGCAGTTTTCCAGGAAGAGTCCCTAACTTTCATCAGAACCTTAGCAGTTCGGTAAAGGCTAAGAGCTGCTGAACTGGATGGCCCTGGGCTTTCAGGTGAGGTGCGGAGTCGGGGAGGGGGCGGGCAGCAGCATCTGTGTCACCTGGGAGTTTGCTAGAAATGCAAACTCACGGGCCCCCTTTGTGATCTGCCCAATGAGAATATGCGTTTTTAACCAGGTCCCCCAGGTGACCCCCGTGCGCATAACCTCCCAGCTCTGACAGCTGTCTTCTGTGATTCTCAGTCAATTTCTGTGACCGTCTAGTCCGATGAACCTCAAATGTCAGTGTGCTTCAGAATCACCTGGAAGGCTAATTATGACATAGATCCCTGGACGCCCCCTCCAGAGTTCAGAGTCAGTAGGTTTTTGATGGGGCCAAAGGAGTCACAGTTCTTTGGTGAGGTCCTGGAGCCACACCTCGAGAACAACGACCATAGCCCCGAGAGGGGGGTGATCCAGCCACTTCCCAGGTAGTGATGGGCGGGCAGCCGTCCTTCTCGGTGAATTAGAGACCTCTGGGCAGCTGGCTCCACTCAAGAGTGGCTGGAGGGGATCACGCAGGGCATTGACTATCTCGCTCAGGTTCCCTTTTAACAGTGATTCTGCGATTTTCTGATCCCAGGCCCCCTCTGCACTCTTACAAATTATTAGGGACCTCAAAGAGCTTTAGTTCACGTGGGTTATATCTACTGGTATTTACCATACGAGATATTGAAACTTAAAACTGTCGATTCGTTAAAAAAGGATAATGTGCCCATGTTGATATAAATAACATCTTTTTATTTTTTTTTAATCTTTATTTTCCTTAAAAATGTAGTGAGAAGTATAGCATTGTTTTACATTTTTCGAACCTCTTTTATGTCTGGCTTAATAGAGACAGATGGATTCTCCTACCTGCTTCTGCGTTCGGTCTGTTGGGATGTCACATGTTATTGGAGCCTCTGGAAAACTCCACTGTACGCTTATGAGAATAAAGAGGATATGTAACATGTTAGTATTGTTACAAAAGTTTTTTGTCATGGATTCCCTGAAAGGGCCTCAGGGCCCCCCAAAGGTCTCCAGACTACATACTTTGAGAATTACTGCTTTTTATTTCTTTTAGGCTGTATTAGTTATAGGAGATAGAAAAAGGGAAGTAGTGGTTTCACTATGTATTACCTTTGATCAAACTACATTTAGGGTATGTATCAACAGAATTCAGCTCATTAAAAATTATTTTTCTTTATTATTTTTTAAGTTACGGTAAAATACGCATAACACAAAACGTACCATCTTAACCATTTTTAAGTGTACAGTTCAGTGGCATTAAGTACATTCACACTGCTCTACAGCCATCACCCCATCCATCTCTAGAACTCTTTTCATCCTGCAGAGCTGAAACTCTATTCATTAAACACTAACGCCCCATCCTCCCCTCCCTCAGCCCCTGGCACCCACCCACCTACTTTCTGTCTCTATGAATCTGACTACTGCAGGTACCTCATATACGTGGAATCATATAGTCTTTTTTTCTTTTGTGTCTAGCTTATTTCAGTCAGCAGGACGTCCTCAGATCCATCCATGTTGGAGTGTGTATCAATTTCCTTTTTTTTTTTTTTTTAAGGCTGAATAATATCCCATTGTGTGAGTTTTTAGTTCATCCATTCTCCCCTTGATGGACACTTGGGTTGCAACTGCTGCTTTTGAGTGCCTGTTGGGCCAGGTGGTTCTGTTCGCAACAGTATGTGGCATTCTTTCCCATCTTTTCAGCTGAGCGGGCCGAGGCTCTGGGAGCCTCCCTCACTCGCCTGAGATCAGGTACGTGACTGGGTCAGGATGTTGACCTCGCCTTGTTTGACTTCAAAGCCCACACACCTCCTCTTAAGCCACACTTTGGAGGGAGTTTGGACTTTCTTTGTGTGCTCTGTGCATCGAAGCAGAGAGGGGAGGAGCAAACCAGGATAAGCTCAAGGTCTTGATGGAAGGAGGGACCTCAGGGGAAAGATGCTTACTTAATTGCAGTCCTAGTAGAGCAAGGATTTTCATTTCAAAGGTTGTTACAGTCTTTGTGGAAAAATTGGTACCTTTATTGGTCTGTGGTAGCTGTTGGAGGATGGTTTTGTTCTTAGAACAAAGCCTCTTGGCAGGGAAATGTTCGATATTCAAATTAGTCATCTGGCCACTAAAAGGCTCCCAGGAAGCGGTTGGGTGAATCCAGCAACTGGGGCTGGTCCGGATGGGCATCAAGCTGGGTCTTAAGGAGAAACCATGGGTGGTGGTGGGGGGCCCGTCCCGCCAGCCTGTCTGCTCCTTCTTGGTGAGGAAACGGACTGGCCAAGTCCCTTCCTATCTATGGCCCTCAGTTTCCTCATCAGAAAAAGGATGGTCTAGTTGGATGGTTTTCACGTGGATGATAGCTTTAAACGTTAGCTGAATTCAAGCCAATGAATAAAACATAACAGAGCAACTCTTTGATCAGGGGTGGGGCCTGGGAGCCCCTCCTTCCCGTCCCTCCTCCCACCCCACCCCGTCTTCCGCACCGCTCTCCAGCCTGGAGGCCGTGTCCAGGAACACTCAGGGGTCCAGACGCCCGCCCCCAGCCCTTCCATCTGTTGCTCAAGTTTGCTGAGCACCTCAAGGTGCGGCTTAGACAAACTGCAGGTTAAGATCCAGCTCCTTGAGCTCTTTGAACTCTTGGCCAACGTTTACTCTCCTGTCCTGTGAATTTGCCAAGTCTGGTGGAAACTCAGATCAAAAGCTGTGTTTTTCTTCTCAGAGAAGGGATCATGGCCTTTGCATTTGTGTAGTAAGAAAGGGAAGAGGAGGCAGCTCTGGGCAGCAAAGACAAATAGAATCAGCTGGATAATTTCAGCACCACCTGCTCCATTTTTTTTGCTGTACGCGAGCCTCTCACTGTTGTGGCCTCTCCTGTTGTGGAGCACAGGCTCCGGACGCGCAGGCTCAGCGGCCATGGCTCACGTGGGATCTTCCCGGACCGGGGCACGAACCCGCGTCCCCTGCATCGGCAGGCGTACTCTCAACCACTGCACCACCAGGGAAGCTCCAAGGTTGGTTTCTTATACTTCAAATCCTTCATGAGCTCTGTGTTGACTCTTAGGAAGCCTTTCTCCTTAAACAGCCCCAGAGTCTTCTGAGACAAAGCTCCAGGATTCATGGAATTCCAAAGGCTTTGTTCTAGGAGTTTTTCCTTAGAACCTAGAGCTGCCTGCCCAGGTGATAGCTTTGGGGTAACAGTAGAGCAGACTCGTTCATTTTTTTTTTAACTTTTTATTTTATATTGGCGTGTAGCCCATTAACAATGTTGTGATAGTTTCAGGTGCACAGCAAAGCTACTCAGCCATACATATACGTGTATCTCTTCTCCCCCAGACTCCCCTCCCAGCCAGGCTGCCACATAACATTGAGCAGAGTTCTGTAGGCTTACTGCTCCCCTCCACCTCAAGCTGGAGGAGAATTACCTTTGCGACAAAAAACTTAATCCATCGATCTGAGACAGAAATGGAAATTTTTGTTCGAGCCGAATTGAGGGCTATAACCCGGGGACAGCCTCTCAGAAGGTTCTGAGAGCTGTTCTGCCTGTTCGAGGTCAAAACGCAGTTACATGTTTTGAGACAGAGGGCTGTGTATTACATGATGTATTATTGACAGTTTACACAATCTAGCAAGTAGTGGGTCATGGCTCATCGTGGCCCCTTACGACGTCAGGAAGGAATGTTATCTTTTAAGGAGTTGTCTTGTTGATGCTGGGAGAATATTGCTCTTTATGGTTGAGCAGGTATTTCTGCTGATGGGGGAGGTTTGGTCGATGCATAATGCAGGTACGCAGTGCGCAGTGGAGGGGAGAAAGGAGGCCAAAGGGCAGAGAAGATTTTTTTTTATGTTTAAATTTTTCTTGTGCTGCCATAAAATATGGATTTTATTTCACACCCTCTTTGATGAGCGTGAGCTTGCAATGGAGGGCAAGAAAATAAAAGCCATAATCCACGTGATCGTTTAGAAGTCACCCCCCACCAAAGTCTTTATCTCACATTCTTTCCTTTTTTCCCCTCTCTTCTTCCCAACCTTCTAGCCTGTGTTGGGTACCTGCTATTACCGTGCTATCACAGTGGGAATAAAATAGGAGTAAGATACAGTGTGTGTCCCTAAGAAATTCACAGGCTCGTGAGGGGACCAGATCCAAAAATAGACAGTTCTCATGCAACTAGATAACTTTAACGATGGAGATAATAATAATAACAATAATCACCATTTATTGGCCTCCCTCCTATGTATCTACCAGGCATGGTCAGAAACAGGCATTATCTCCTATCATCCTTACAAAACTGCCATTTTATAGATGAGGAAACTGAGGCTCTGGAAGATTAAGTTGCCCAGTTAATAAGTAGTAGTGGTGGGGCTTGGAGCCTTGTTTGTTGGATTCCAAAGTTCATCCTTTAATTCCTGTGAGCAGGAGCACAAAGGGAGGAACACTATCCAGCTGGACTGGTGGGAGGCTTGTCATTGGTCTGTGGGACTTAAAAATAGGGTATCACCTTCTATGAATTACAGAGCGTCCGATGGTATCGGCAGGGCACACAACCAGAGTACAAATGCTCTTATCTTCTCCGCTTTGTGGCCCTCACCTTTGTCCTCTTCATCCCTGTTGATCTGACATGCTTTCACGTGGGGAGAGAGACTTATCTACCTTTGGGCTCTCTTTGATTTTTTATTGACGCTTTTGACATTCATTTGCTCTTTTAAGTACTCTTTGAGCTCTGCAGCCAGTCCAGACCTCTGGACTCGTGGAGATTCCTCCACACACTGAGACACATCACAAGCTCATGAACAGCAGCTAGGGACTGCTCTCAATAAATAAGAATGATGACCCGTGGCAACGTGCAGGGTGTTTATTAAGCACGTAAAATGCACTGCCTTCCATGGCTATTTCTCGCCTCGACATTCATCACGTAACTGAAGGCCACGATTGATTCTCTGTCATAATGGAATCTTACACATGTGAGGGGATTGTAATTCACATGCCAGCATTGCTTGCTTCAGAAAATCTCGAACTGCAGATCCAGCACTGCTTGATGATAAATGTTTTTCCTTGCCTGCAGTGCTGCTGTCTCGTAGATCCAGAGCTCTCAATGACGTGCCATATGCAGAACAAATGAGTGCAGGGTAGCAGGACCTTAAAGTGTGCAGGGTCTGAGGGCCGCTGGCCACCAGAACACTTTGCTGACCTGGCTTACAGGACCCTTCTCTGCGGGAACATTCCTCGGAGGAAAGGAACAAACATACGTTCAGCCTCTGCTCCATCCAGGACCAGTCACAGATGCCCTGGGGAAGAAGATGAGTAGGAGCTTGCCTGCTCTCAGGGTGGACCATGGAGAGGACATGAAAGGCTCTGTGAGATCCAGGAAGAGCTGAGCTGTTTCACTGTGATGGGGGAGGGTAGGGCTTCTTGGAGAAGGCAGTGTTTGGCACAGGTGTTGAAGGCTTCTTGAAGGCCAAGCTGAGGGAAGTAGGTGCTCTTGGTGGAAGTTACAATACGTTAAACCACAGAGCTGAGAAAGTAGGGCGCCCCTTCAGAAAACATCCTGCAACTCAGTTTAGCTGGTTCAGGTGAGCAGTTGGAAAGGAGGAGAAGAAAGTAGGCCAGCGCTGTGCTCTAGACTGAGTGTTTGTGAGCCCCCCAAATTCCTGTGTTGAAATCCTAACCCTGATGTGATGGTATTAGGAGATGATCCCTCGAGGAAATGATTAGTTCTTGAGGGTGGAGCCCTCATGAATGGGATTAGTGCCCTTTAGAAGAAACTCCAGAGAGCTCTCCTCCATGTGCTTTCCTCCATGTGAGGACACAGTGAGAAGATGACCATCTATGAACCAAGAAACAAACTGTCGCTAGATACTGAAGCTGCTGATGCCTTGATCTTGGACTGCCCAGCCTACAGAACTGTGAGAGATAAATGTCTGAGTTTATAACCCACCCGATCTATGGTATTGTGTTATAGCAGCCAGAATGGACCACCATACACTGCCATACTCTTATTATTATAGGCTCCCCAGCCTATAATAATAAAGTGATTATTATAAGTAATACATTCCCACTGTAGGGATTTAGATAAACAGAAAAGAAAGCAGCAGCCATAAACCCACCTCCCCGGTGTGGGGTGGGGTGGACGGGACCACTGTGAGCATCTCATGTTTTATTCAAACCTTTTTTAAAAAAAAAACGTGTTTCAATATGAAAATTCAAATTCATGCACTTCTAATGAAACTTGGGCTGGATGGGACAGAGGTTGGGAGCTTCTGGCTTTGGGTCAGATCAGTTTCCAAGATCTCTGCTGAGTCCTTCATTTTGCTTTCTTGGTTGTTCTAGGGAGTGGCAGAGGTTGAACTGGAACAGAACCTGAATCGGACTTTCAGAAGCTTCTTCAGAGCAAGTGATGAGGTGAGGGGTGTGGGAGGCAGGATGGGGGGTAAGCAGGAAGGGGGAGCTGCAGGGGTGCAGATCCCCAGATGGCTTCCCTGGGAGGATGGGGGGATAGGGGATGTCAGGGTCTGGGAATAAGCAACTTGCCTTCTTTTCTTTGACTTCTGTAGTTAGGGCAGTTAGGGTCCTCACTCCACTGGTCCCTTCATTAATGAGGAAAGGTCCTGTCCTCTCTGTCACACACCAGTAGGGCTATGAAACCCAGATCAAAGAAGGATTTTAATGGTGACAGTTTAGAAATTCTGCTGTTATTACCATTTTCATATGGATAATTGCTTATCAAAGTGCAGAATTAATTGATGCTTCTAACCCTTTTCTTGAACAACCACAGGAGCCTAGACGCGGTAACCCCACCCTCCTGTCTTACGTGTTAGGAGTCACTGTTGCTGTTGCTGTATCTGGTCAGTGCCTACTTAGCTGGCCTGATTTTTGCCAGTTTCTTTGCTGACCACTTCTGTCACCTCACTCTTTTATGCTAAGTTCAAATTTCTTTCTTACTGAAGTACCTTCTTTTGTAGTTTTCTCAGTAAGTGTCTGTTAGCAGTAAACTCGTAATTTTTTGGCCTGAGAATATCTTTATTTTGCTTTCAATCCCAAAGAACAGTTTATCTGAGTATAGCATTCTAGGTTGACAATTATTTTCTTCTAGAAGCTTCTGTCATTGCTTGTAAGAAATTGGTCTCAGGTCTACCTTCTGGTGTATTATGTGTCTTTTAGTCATGTCTCATCTGTAGTTCAGCCCATCTTTAATTTTGAAAGTTGCATTTGGTTCTTTTTCAAAGCCTTCTGATCTCTTTCAATAGAGTCTTGTTCTATTCTTGTTCAGTTCCTTCTTTGGTCTTTAATCATTTGAAGCATCCTCATTTTTCATCCTCTCTCTGTGCAAGTTCTATTATTTGGTCTTCCTGGAGAGTCTTGTCTTACTGTTGGCTGTGTTTGCTGTCTCCTGCAATGGGGCTTTAGTGTGTATGTGCGGGGGGGGGGGGGGGGGGGCAGGGTAGGGAGCGAGCTCTGTAATTTGGGTTTGTGAGCTCCTCTTTAGCAGAGCTTACTCTGCTCCAACCTGCTCCAGCTGAGATGGAGGAAATGGCCCTCCTGGGCGGGTTAGCTTTTGCTTCTCCTGCCAGGCCTTCTGGTGGCATTGCCAGCCCAAGCTCACTTCTGCTGTTGTCGTTTACTTCACTTAGTGGGGGTTTCCAGATCTCGTAGTGTGGATTCAAACAGAAACACGCGTGAAGGCAGGCTTGTGGCTGTGAATCCCCAGGGGAGCTTTTTTTTTGGTCTCCTCTTAGTACCAAACTGAATGGACCACCTCCTTTGACATCCCTCTGTCGTGGTGGGTGGGTTCTCTCTAGTCCGCCCTTTAACTGAGGACCCCAGATTGAGCGGATTCACCGTGGAGGGGTGGGGAGGATCTCACTTTTACCTTCGCATCTGACCTGAGGTCTCATCTCCTGTTCCCACTGGTTGATACACCCAAGTCCTTACATTCCCAAGACCCGCCAGCACCCAGGAGCAGGCTTGGCCTTGGAGCCTGGCTGGGAGCCGCCTCTGCTCTGAGCGCTCAGGACCCGCCTAGCTCTCTTGGGCCTTTAGCATGTCTGTATAGTCTGCTGGCACTTGTAGGGCTTTTAGCTGCCCCGTTCCTGCATGTTTCCTTTGCTTGACCCATGACATCCCTTCTAACTTTTCTCCCTCCAGACTTTTCTCACCACGAACAGAGTCTGTGAAATGGGTAAGAGACATTCTCAGGAGGGAATGGAGACAGGAGGGCCATGACGGGAACCAGCCGAACGTTAAATGAGTGTTTCTGCATCTGCCAGCTGTGGGCAGAAGCAGCCACCTGCCCGCCCTGAACTAGTTAAGCCCTGACTTGCTTAACGTAGATCCCAGCTGGTGAATCGCACCCACCCTAACCCTGGGCTGACCACACAGCCTTGGCTTCCTCTCCCCCATGACGTTTTGGATTCAAGATCTTAAACAGTCAGAGCCTGGAGGACTCTCAGAGCTCTTCAGGGCAGATCCACCCTCTACTGATTAGGACAGAGACCCAGGAGAGGAACTGACCTCTGCAGGGTCACCTGGTGCAGGCAGAGTGGAAATCAGGCCAGACCCCCAGCCAGGTCCCCTCTGTCTTAGTGCCCTGGCCTCCGCTCCATCAGGCTCAGTTCCATCCCGTGAAGACAGCCCCTGTTCTCCCTCCCAGTTTGGATATAAGTGAGGAGCCAGAGCCGGGAGCAGACTGGCGCTCATCCCCTCGACTCCTGGATCCGGCACTGTTCCCACAGAACCTTGCTTGACCCCAAGCCTGTTACTTTGCCATCATTCCCTTGTATTTTTATTAATAATGATGATTGCTATCACTTGTTTGAGCACCTACTGTGTGCATCAGACACTGGGTTAGCCCCCTTTAGTAATATTGTTTATATTTCTCGTGACATCCGTAAGAACTCTCACTATTATCTCTATTCTACAGATGAGGAAAATGGGTCTCAGAAGAGTTACAGAATTTGTCCAGAGTGGCCAGGCTGGGGTTAAACTCCTCCAAGCCTAAAGACCACACTCCTCTCACTGGTCAGGAACACCTCTTCCTTCCCTCCTTCCACCTCTTTACTTATTCACGTAGTCAATCGTTCAGTCCTTCATTCCTCAAAAGTTTTGAGCGCACACTTGGTGCGAGGCAGGGGCAGGTGTCCACAAGCACGAGTCAGAGTCATTGCCCTCCGGGAGCCCAAGTCTCTTGGGGAGACAGAGAGCAGTAATAAAAGAAGCAGAGGTGGTGAAGGGTCTCAGGTATTGGAACTTGGACACCTGACCCAGGGGGTGGGAGAGGAAACAAGAGGCTTTTTGTAGGAGGACTCTTTGTGAGTACGCCAGGGGAGCCCAGCCTCAGCAAGATGGTCACCGAGGAGGACATCCAGTTCTACGTTCAGCAGTTCAAGAAGTCTGGTTTCAGGTAAAGAGAACAGCACCCCAGGAGAACACAGGAGAGAGAAGCTGGGCAGACAGGGGCTCTTCTGCTCTCGCAGTGCAGGGTGAGGCCCAGTGCCAGCTCAGTCCCAGTGAAAGCCTGGCCAGCCTCTGCTTGAATGCCTCCAGTGCCGGGAGGCTCACTATCTGACAATGCTCAGCCTGCTCTAGTTTGGAGAGTTCAGCTTGTTCTCCCTTATGCTTAGGGGCCCCTTCATAGCAGATGTTTTCAACTTTTTTTCAGTGGTGACCTCTGTGAGGATCAGATGACGGCTCTGAGTTCTTACTTCAGAAAAACACAAAAACCCCACGTCACCTCAAAAACTGCATACATATTCGGTGGGGGGGCGGTGGTTATAGGCTCAGCTTTACTGAGCTCTAACTCACATACCGTAGAATTCGCCCTCTGAGAGTGTACAGTTCAATGGTTTTTAGTCATTTCATGGAGCTGCGCCGTCACGACACATTTTATGGATCGCCACGATCCGTTTTAAAGTGTTTTCATCTCCCAGAAAGCAGCTCTGTTCCCTTTCGCGGTCACCCCCACTTCCCCTGGGCCCCCAGGTCTGATCACTCACCCATCTGCTCTCCGTCCCCCTGGAGCTGCCTATTCCAGATGTTTCATGCGAACGGAGTCGTACGCTGTGTGGTCCTTCGTGTGTGGCTCCTTTCACTCTGGTCCGCCCGTGTTGTAGTCTCTGGCAGACTTCGCTCCTTTTTCTCAGGTCTGTTTCTATGCTGCGGTTCAGGGCCCTGCCCTGAGATCACTGAGAGTCCCTCTTAACAGCCCCTTTTCTGCGTGTCCCTTCACGTATTTGGGTATTGCAAATCTTCGAAGCTCGTGAGTCCTTCAGGGGCGCTGCAGGTCACCGCGTTTCCATCTTCCTCCTCTCTCCTCACGCCCCCATCCCTCACTCAGACCCAGGGGCGCAGAAGGAGCCCAACAGCAGGACCGCCTTCGTCAGCCCAGCCCACAAGTTCACAGTGTGGCGACCTTGGCCGTGAACACCCGTGGTGGCCTTTAGACCCCAGTGTCTCCATCTCCTTTCTTCCCCCCTCCCCACCCGAAGTGGGGGACAATTTAAGAGTCTTAGACTGGGGGACAGAGGTTCTCTGGAAGGGAACGTATAGGCAATCCGATCCGACCCCTCCTTGCACAGGAGGGAAAATCAGAAGTCCCCAAAGGGCACGTGACGTGTCCAAGGTCTCTCCGGGCCCTCCCTTTCACAGGAAGCCTCAAGGGCTGGACAGCACCAACCCATTCCACACCTGAGGATTGGGACAGTGCTCCAGGTACAGCCCTGGAGCCACCCTACCTGTCCGGAGGAGACACCTCGGCATCACTTCCTGATGTCACATTAGGAGGAAGCACCTCCCGGTGGCCCTTTTCTGCGGGCTCCCTGGGACAGGGGAGTGGCCCTGGTTGGTGAGGGCACTAAACCAGGCTCCCCCACCCCCGTCTTCCGAGACAGTCCCCGGAGAAAATGGAGAGTCCTGTGGGGCCGATTTCTGTGTGTCCCTGGATGCCCACTTCAGAGAACATCAGCCCTCAGCCCAGCGCTGTGCCTGCACCAGACCGTGCTCGATAAAGCCTGGCAGGCACGCAGGGCACCGGGGTGTGAATCCTGGGCTCTGTTCTCTTCGCCCTGCAGGAGCCTTTGCTCTTCCTGGGAAGACTGGCTCTATGCTGAGCGGGTTGCTGGTGGGGTCTGTAGCACAAGCGTCTACTAAAAGCTTTCCTTGTTTTATTCCTTCGTCCGCCCCTCCCAGGGGACCTCTAAACTGGTACCGAAACATGGAAAGGAACTGGCAGTGGGGCTGCAAAGGCTTGGGAAGGAAGGTGAGTTCAGCGCTGTTCTCCTCCCCAACCAGTCACCCTTCGGGCATCCATGGACCCAACGGATAGGCCGCTGGGTCAGAGCCAGGGGTGGACAGACCGGCCGGCTGCTTTTGGAGGTGCCTGCGCTGCAGGGTTTCCTCTTAGGACCTCTTTTGCTGCTGCTTCTCCTGGAACGGCAGAGGGTGGGGAGAGGGTGGGGACAGGGGTCTGCCAGGTGACTGCAGCAGCGGTCTGGACCGCCTAGGTCTCCCGGCGGTGCCCTGGCTCCGGGCGCAGGTGGTCCAGTTAACTCCCAGAGGTAACAAGGATGAAGCTCCTGGCTCACAGAGGAACATTACGTGTTCTCAGAGAGACGGGGCTGTAACCTCTGGCTCCTTCACCTCGACCGAGTCAGTCTGAGTCTCAGTTTGTCAAGCAGAAGACAGATTTCCAACCCCTGGGTCTGCAAAGGGAGTCATGGGGTCCCTGGTTTACGTTCAGAACATTAAAAACCTGAGGGAAATTGCATTTTCACGTTCCTCAGCTCACTTGGTAGCCCTGGCCATCTTCTTGATTCAGTCAAAAATGAACGGCCCTCTATATGCCAGGAATGGTGCAGATGACACAGGCGAGGTCCTGACCTCATGGGGTTAGGTCTTGAGGCAGTAGAGCATAAAAACAGTGGTTCAGAGCAGGCTGGGCAGAGAGTCGGCCTGGGATGTGGGACCTGTGCCCTGTGTGACCTTGGGCAAGGCACTTAACCACTCTGTTCTCCGTGGCCGCTAACATGGAAGTGACAAGAATGGTGCCTACCTCAGGCAGGAGCTGTGTAAGGATAAAGTGGGTTGACGCACATCAGATGCTGAGTTAGAACAGTGCCTAGTACGTAGTAATGGTTTAATTAATGCTCTTCAGCCTATCATCACTCTCATCTGTGATGGACAAAAATGACAAAACTGCAGTTTGATTGGCAGACTCTCTCAAAGCATGAGGGACGAGATTGAGGTCTTCGGAGAGGTGAACCCCGGTGGCAGTAGGTTTGGGGACCCCCCTCTTCTGCAGTTTCCTTCCAGATCTTCCTCCTCTCCCACCTCCTCCCATTGCCTCTGCCACTGCTTTACGTTTTCACCTGCAACATTCTAGAGTGTCCATCCCACCCCCACAGCAGCCTCAGGATTCATTTCAGCCACAAAACCACCACTGGGTCTTCACCCCTTGGTGAACGGGGCGCAGTGAGAAGCGCACAGTTCTGTGTTGCAGGTAAAAAACGATGAGCATTCCTTACCCAGGGACAGTGAACACCATTTGGAAATTGTCATGGTAGCTTGAGAACACAGAGTAAAAGGAGGTTCTCTCGACCTTGCGGTGCCCCATGCATCAGTAGACAAAAAGTGAAGTCCCTTTCCTGCCTGTAATGTCAGGCTGGCCCAGTCACACTCTGGCTGCCCCTGTGAAGGGCAGAGTGTGAATATTCTATTCAATTGAATATTCTATTCAGTTCATAGAAAAGGAATATTGATCTCCATCTAAGGGCATCTTTCCTCCTTCCCAGTGCCACCTGTTTGGTGTCAGGAATATCAGTCACACAGAGTGGACCACACGCGTGTTCTTACTTATACACACACCCACACACCCACACACACAACCTGTGTGGTCAATACGTGGCTGAATCCATCCGTATGAGAAAAACCCATTTTTTTCCTCCTGTGTGTCTCCTTTACTTTCACACAAATCGCTTTCTTTCTGGCACTTCTGGTCTCCAAATGTGTGGGCGTTTTCCCCACACCAAGCAGTTCTCTGCAACACCAGCTGGGTGGCCTGCAGTTTAACTCAGTTCTGGCACCAGCTACCTGGAGACGGCGTCAGAGCCCACAGGTTAGGGGCTCAGTCCCACAAGACTGCTCCCCACTTCAGACGCCAACCCCAAGTCCAGGTTGTTACCTGTGCTTCCAACTGATTGGCCGTAAATTGGAGGCTCCCAGGACCTCCTCCTTGGGTCTATTAATTTTCTAGAGTGGCTCACAGAACTCTGGGAAACACTTACTCACGTTTACTAGTTTATTAAAGGATTTGGTAAAGGACACAGATGAACCGCCAGACGAAGGAATCCACAGGGTGAGGTCTGGGAGGGTCCCAAGCCCAGGAGCCTCTGACCCTGTGGAGCTGAGGTGTGTCATCCTTTTGGTGTGGATTTCACCAACCGAGAAGCTCTCCGAACTCCTTGCTACTGGGGTTATGTGGATGTTTATGGAGACTTCCTCACGTAGACGCGATCAATTATTAACTCCATTTCATCCCTTTCGCCTTCCAGACGTGGGGGGAAGGAGGGAGCTGAAAATCCCAAGTGTCTACTCATGGCTTTGTCTTCCTGGTGACCAGCCCCCATCCAGGAGCCCAGCCAGAGTCACCTCATTGGAACAGAAGTGCTCTCATCACTTAGGAATTTACAGGGGTTTCAGGGGCTCTATGCCGGGAACCAGGGGCAGAGAGCAAGATACACATCTTCTAATCTCGCACACCATCCTTTCAGATCTTTAGTAATACTGGTGCCTCCTTCACGCAAAGCACGTGGCGGAAACAAAGCCAGACCACAGCGGTGCTGAGGGGTCTTCTGCGGGGGAGTTGATAGTGGAGGAGGCCCCGTGGTGTGAAAATAACATCTCCTCGCCCGGGTGAGGGAGAGCCTGAGCGTGGAGGCTGCTTCTCCTTCCCGTTATCCCTCCCCAGATCCTGGTGCCGGCCCTGATGGTCACCGCGGAGAAGGACTTCGTGCTCGTTCCTGAGATGTCCAAGCATATGGAGGACTGGGTAAGGCGATGGTCCTGCTCGGGGCCATCGGGGCTTCTTGGAGGAGGGCGCAGGCGTCCCAGAGGATGAAGAGTGGGATGTTCGGGGGAACCGCTGGCTTGACGAGGGCTTCCTCAGCAGCATCACTGTCGCCTTTTGGGAGCAGCGATTAAGACTGCTCCTCGGGGGCTTCCCTGGTGGCGCAGTGGTTGAGAGTCTGCCTGCCGTTGCAGGGGACACGGGTTCGTGCCCCGGTTTGGGAAGATCCCACATGCCGCGGAGCGGCTGGGCCCGTGAGCCACGGCCGCTGAGCCTGCGCGTCCGGAGCCTGTGCTCCGCAACGGGAGAGGCCGCAGCAGTGAGAGGCCCGCGTACCGCAAAAAAAAAAAAAAAAAGACCACTCCTTCCTGGACTTCCCTGGTGGTCCAGTGGTTAAGACTCCACACTTCAGGGAACTAAGATCCCACATGCCACGCGGTGTGGCCAAAAGAAAACGAAAAAAGACTGCTGCTTCCTTTCCCCTTCACTGATGCAGTCTCTCATCACTCACTCCTTTCATTTCATGGGCTTTTCCTGTGCACCTAGATGAGTTGGGACAGTGCTAGATGCCAGGGCGGTAAAGATGAATGAGGTGCAGACCCCACCCCACAGGAGGTCATGTCCAGCAGTTCACCCCATATGCAGGAGGCTTGTGTGGACAAGGGCCCAGCTGGGAGCGAGGGCTTCACAGAGGTGCTGACCACTGCCTCTGGCCTTGAGGAACTCCTAAGCCTTGCCCGGCAGAGAGAGAACGGGAGAGGAGACAGGGTGTTGAGAGGTGAGGATGGATGAGAGAGGTCAGAGGGTGCGGCTGGGAGGTTATCCTGAGCCCACTGGGCCAGGCTGAGCTGTGTGGACCTATGGGTGAGGGGACCGTTGAGGTGGAGAGATGGGTGTCAAGCCTGTGTTTTGGAAGCACACTCTGCTGGAAGCGTGGGGCTTGGTAGGGATTGGGAGGCCTGCAGGTGGGGTCCCCGTGACGGCTCGTGTATCCTGGCTGGTTGCTGAGAGCGTTCGCCTGCCCTTGGCCGTGGCTTTGTTAGTTAGCATCATCCAGTGCGGTGGAGAGAGCGTGATTCAAGGCACGTTGCCAAGGACGCCCTGTGTGGGTGGTGGAGCCAGTCCGGGGAGGGCTGTGACCCACTTTGGGGATTCAGGCGCCAAAAGCAAGACTGAACAGCCCTGCGTGCAGACCACCAGGGAGGAGGGAGGCGACGTGGGAAGGGGACGCAGTCATGGCTACAGGGCAAGAGCCAAGCTCGACCCGCCATTTTCCAGGCTGTGAACGGGCCAAGTCCTAATGGTTCTGGAGGGAGACAGTCTGTTGTGATGAGTATGGGTCAGCCTGAATTTGAATCTTAGCTCAGCCACTCTCTGTGTGGCCTTGGGCCAGTTACCTAACCTCTCTGAGCCTTCATATTACCCAAAGGATCACGGTCAAAGATAAATAAGGCAGGGCTTCCCTGGCGGCGCAGTGGTTAAGAATCCGCCTGCCAGTGCAGGGGACATGGGTTCGAGCCCTGGTCCAGGAAGACTCCACATGCTGCAGAGCAACTAAGCCCATGAGCCACAACTACTGAGCCTGCGCTCTAGAGCCCGCGTGCCAGAACGACTGAAGCCCACGTGCCTAGAACCCGTGCTCCGCAACAAGAGAAGCCACCGCAATGAGAAGCCCGCGCACCACAACGAAGAGTAGTCCCTGCTCGCCACAACTAGAGAAAGCTCGCACGCAGCAACGAAGACCCAATGCAGCCAAAAATAAATAAATAAAATAAATAAATGTATATAATAAAAAGATAAATAAGGCAGCGCATGTGGAGCACCTAGCACATAGTAGGAGCTTGAGCAGTGGTCATTCCCTTCCTAAATCAGGCGGGGTTTTCAGGGGGGCGGCCCACCGGGAGCAGAGAACTTGCCTTCTGCCATTTACTTTTCCGGGTGGGGTTTTCTTCCAGATCCCCCACCTGAAAAGGGGTCACATTAAGGACTGTGGACACTGGACACAGATGGAGAAGTAAGGAGATGGCGGTCCCTGGGTGGGGGACGTCAGGGCTCCCCGTTCGCCTCCAATAAGCCGCTTGCTTTACCACCCCTGCCTTGGCCTGAGTGAGGGAGTGCGTCCAGACAGATGCGAATTGCCTTGTGTTCCCGTTCCAGGCCCACAGAGTTGAATCAGATCCTCATTGAGTGGCTGGAGACCGACGCCAGCGACCCACCGGGGGTGTCGAAGCTTTAGGGTGTGACGTGTGTCAGCCGCCAGCAGGCAGTCCAACCGCTCCATCTGCTGGGGCGCTTCTCTGGTACCCGGATGGGGCCTTACCCGCATCTCTCAAAACCAGCAGCGTCGTTCTCAAGGGGTTTGCAGCAAAGAGTGATTTTCTCTAAATGAAATGAGTCAGATTTGACATAATTTTAGATATAGGAAAAATCACGTGTGATTAATCCTCTGGGTATAAACGTATCGCTTTATGTCTAAGGATGGTTAGTGTTCTGTGGGGGACAGAACGGGATGGCCAGGGGGTGATTTCTCTTGATAATCAAGTCAGCGTTTTGATGATGCAAAATCAGCAATTTAGAAGCTTTTCAGCAGAGATGGGAACTCCTTTATGCAATAAAATGAAGACAACTGGCTTAGTGCTGTTTGAGTTCTTGGGAGAAAAGCAGAGTGATTGTTCTAAGAAAGTATCGTGTTTGGGTGAACACTGTTTCCTCTGCTCTGACTCTCTACGAGTCTGCATGATCTGGGACAGTGCTGTCTGGTAGAACTTTCTTTTTTTATTAATTTATTTTATTGAAGTATAGTTGATTTACAATGTCGTGTTAATTTCTGCTGTAGAGCAAAGTGATTCAGGTACATATGTGTATCCATTCTTTTTCATATTCTGTTCCGTGATGGTTTATCACGGGATATTGAATATAGTTCTCTGTGCTATACAGTAGGACTTTGTTGTTTATACATTCTATATGTAGTAGTTCGCATCTGCTAATCCCAAACTACTAATCCATCCCTCCCCCACCCCCCTCCCCCTTGGCAACCACAAGCCTGTTCTCTATGTCTGCGAGTCTGTTTCTGTTTTGTAGATAAGTTCATTTGTATCATATTTCAGATTCCACATGTAAGTGATATCATATGGTTTTTGTCTTTCTCTGACTTACTTCACTTAGTATGACAACTTCTAGGTCCATCCATGTTGCTGCAAATGGCAGTATTTCATTCTTTTTTATGGCTAATATTCCACATCTTCGTTCCCCATTCATCTGTTGATGGACACTTAGGTTGCTTCCATGTCTTGGCTATTGTAAATAGTGTCGGGACAAACATAGGGTGCATGTATCTTTTCAAACTATAGTTTTCTCCAGATATATGCCCAGAAGTGGGATAACAGGCTCAGATGGCAACTCTATTTTTAGCTTTTTGGGGAACCTCCATACTGTTTTCATAATGGCTGCACCAATTTATATTCCCGTGCAACTTTCTGACACGATTGAAATGGTCGGTTCTGCGCTACCAGATAGAGTGGCCACGAGCCACGCGTGGCCATGTGCCCTGTCTCCCTGCTCTGTTGGCATGGTGTGCTCACCAATCTGTGTTCACCTCCCTCGCTGCTCTTTCTGCAGGGCAAGCTTGTGGACAAGGTGGTGTCTCCAGGCTGAATTCTGAATTAGGATGAATGTAAATTAACCAGGCAGAAAAGGGTACGTATGTCCGGGTGTGCGGAGAAAGCAAAGGGCAGCTTAGAAATGTTAACAGCGATCATTCTTAAATACCCCTGTGTGCCTGGAGCCCCACACTGACCAACTCTTATCCTTCCCATTTAACAGATGGGAAAACTGAGGTTCACATAATTTGCCCAAGGTCACTTGGCCCATTTAACAGATGGGAAAACTGAGGTTCACATAATTTGCCCAAGGTCACTTGGCTCGTGCGGGGCAGAGCCTAGATTCAGATGCATGCTGTCTGGTTCTGCAGGCTGAGCTCCTTCTACCAAAAGCTCTTTTCTTTTCTAAATCTGTGGTGAGACTACCCAGATCAAATCCCTGCTCGGCCACTGACCACAGAGTGACCTCGAGAAAGAGGTCACTGTGCTTCAGTTTCCTCTATTAGAAAAGGACATTAATAGCACCAAACTCATAGGTGGTCGTGAGTATTAAATGAGTGAATACATACAGGGCCCTAGAACGGTGCCTGGCACACAGGAAGTGCTACTGAAGTATTAGCCATAAAATTTCCGGTTTATCCCAGGATGAGGCTTCTGAGGGCTTTAAACTTCCAGCCAGCCCACCACCACCTCCTCCCTTTTGGATCAGAGAATTGAAGGACTCATTTAAAAAGCAAATGTGTGCTCTGGGGGAATGACTACAGGAGCCAGCTAACATTATTTCACTAACTGCGTGTGTCCAGACTTATTTGTCCAGAACTGGTTGGAGGAAACAGGAATCTTAGAACATCTCTCATCTGAAGAAGCACAAGTAGGCAAACCTATTCGGCCTGTCTCCATTTCCAGTATTCTACCCAGTAATCTCTGTAAACCATTCAAAATGTTCAGAAATTCTACTCTTTCGGCAAATAAGGGCCGGACGAATCTAGTTCGTAGCATTGCAACACAACTATCACCAGTCATACAAGATTGAGGGTCATAAAAACAACGCTGCATTGGAAAAGGTCTTTAGGTCATTCCCGAAAATGCTTTTCAGATGCCTTGTTAACTACAAGTTGTTTGAAGTATGTTCAAATTGATTTGATTTAAAAATGTTATTTTTATTTCAGACTACAAAGGGCATAAATAACAAGTGTATTTACCTCTGCAGAGGGAAATAGCTTTTTAAAAGAGGCATGGAAGACCCCACCCACATATCAGTGAGATCATAGAGCTCCCTCCAGGGAGCTGAGATCACTCCCAGGTTCTGTCCTCACACTCGGTGGCTGTCAACTAGCAGGGTCCAAGGTTTCCAGGAGAAATATCTTCTAAAAATGCATCTGTTTAGAACATGCGACAAAAAGCTATTCCTGTCTCTCTTGGGGTATAACGAACCCACGGTTTTAGGCCTGGAAGTGACTCTGAGGCCCACTGTTCACACTGACATTACCATGAGCACAAATTAAAACTAAACAATGGTTAAAATATGTAGGTCAGAAGCTCAAAGGTTTTGGCAACAAGAATTGGGTGGGAAATGTCATGCCTCGCAGTTCAAAGGAATCCATCTGGCCACACATAAAATACTTTCTTGGCACTTGTGGAAGTTTCTCCCCAGTGTTGGCCGCTGCACCCAATTGTTAATTGTTTCTTCTGCCAGACTGTCAGCTTCTTGGGATTGGAGCCTGCCTGTCTAGGTGATTCATCCTTGACCCTAGCCCAGCGCATGCCTGGTGTTTTGAATGGGTAAATGAGTTAGTTTCAAATGCTTAGTATTTGATGTCCTGCTTCATGAGATGGATGACCAATGGTCTGAGTCTTTTCACCGTCCCAAGCCTCGGTAGATCTCTTACTGTTGGCGTGTGTACCGATAGCACTGAATTCAGGAGAAGACATCCAGATTCTAGACATCTGCACATCTTCCCTAGGATCCGTTGGATAAACCACGAGGGTATGTCACTGCGCTTCTGTTTCATGAGACAAATGCGATAATTGTTTTAATAACACAGTTGAAGCATTTAAAGATACTGTAGGTTTTTACAGCTTTCATATTGATAAGGTATGGGTAGTCATTTTGGCAGTTTACCTAAATACATTTTGTCTTATTTCCATACATATTTCCTGGATTTTGAGGCTGGTACCTGCTTTAGAAAGAATACCAGTGATACCCCTATTGCTGTAAATTCACTTTTTAAAAGTTGTGGTCAGACTTGCGTAACATAAAATTTACCATTTTTCAGTGCACAGCTCAGTGGCATTAAGTACGTTCACATGGCTGTGTAGCCATCACCACCGTCCATCTTCCCAAGCAACCCTGTCCCCGTTAAACACTAACTCTCTTCTCTCCATCCCCCAGTTCCTGGAAACCCCCATTCTAGTTTCCGTCTCTATAAATCTGGCTCCTCTAGTTACTTCATATAAGTGGATTCATACCGTATTTGTCTTTTTGTAACTGGCTTTATTTCACTTAGTATAAGATCCTGTCAGGGAGGAAGGAAACTTTCCTCTACCCTTCTATGTTCTTCTGGCTGGTCTAAGAATTAAATTGACATGAGATAGATTAGCAGGAAAGATCAAATTCAATTTTGCACATAACGGGAACCCTACATACGTGAGAGGGTCAGAGAGAGAAAAGTAAAATGAGGTATATGTGCCCCCCTGAGCTAAGGAATGGGAGAGGAGCCTGGGGCTTCCAAGGACAGGAGGCCCTTCACAGGATGGTAAAAGGAAGAGCAGATGCTGGGTACTTAGGTATTTGCCCTGCCATATACGTGGTGCCACTCAGACAGAATTTATCTCCGGTAATAACTCTTTTCTGGGAAAAATCCCCAATTTAAATTCTTGTAGGTAGTTGAGGAAGGAGCAGTAGTTTCCCTTGAACCCACAGGAGCTCTATTGCCTTTAGCTCCTCGTGCAAAAGTAACACACTCTGGGGAGGCTCGTTCTGAGCCCCTGAAATCCTCAAGGTTCGTCCATGTTGTGGCCTGTGTCAGAATTTCCTTCCTTTTTAAGGCTGGATAATATTGCCTTGTATGTATATTCCACATTTTGTTGATCCAATCATACATCAGTTGAGACTTGGGTGTACAAGTAAGTATCTCTTAAAGGCCCTGCTTTCAGGTCTTCTGTGTACGTACCCAGAGGTGGGATTGCTGGATCGTACGGGAATTCTCTCCACGGTAGGGTTTTCCACACCGACTGAAGCATTTTACGTTCCCATCAGCAATGCCAAGGGTTTCCGTTTCTCCACATCATCATTGTCGCTCGTTGTTTTCTGAGTTTTGGGTAATAGCCATCCTAATGGGTTTGAAGGGGCATCTCTTTGTGGTTTGGATTTGCATTTCCCTAGTACTAAGTGACGAGCATCTTTTCATGTGCTAGTCACCATTTGTATATCTTCTTTGGAGAAGTGGGCATTCTTTGCCCGTTTTTAAATCAGGATTGGGCTTTGGTTGTTGTAGGAGTTCTTTATACACTCTGGATATTAATCCATTATATGATTTGCAAATATTTTCTCCCATTCTGCAGGTCATAAACTCACTTTTTAATCAAGTAGAAATTTACTTCCAATTTTAAAAGGACCTGGGTTAGGACCTAACCTCTGTTTTGTATGTAGTTCCTTACTGTTTTGCATAAAGTTGCTGCCAAGATGGATGGGCAGAACGCCTCAGCACTGGGGAGCTTGTGTGACTGGCTTGTATCAGAATTTGGAAGACAAAAACAAGTCTTTGTTTATGCAAATCAAGGTAAGAAGAATCCAGAGAAAGCCCCAAACAGTGGTCTTGGTTGCCATTGGAATAGATTGAGGAGATGTATTATTTGGTCAGTGTTTCCATCAGTTATCCTGGATTGAGATGGAAGGGAACCCTAAGAAGCAGGGGATGCTTTAAACCTTGCCATCCAGCTTTGTCATTTGTTGAATGACAACAAATGAACTTTATGCCTTACAGAAGCCTTTTTATTTATTTATTTTTAATAGATCTTTATTGGAGTATAATTGCTTCACAATACTGTGTTAGTTTCTGTTGCCCGACAGAGCGAATCAGCCATCTGCATACACATGTCCCCATATCCCCTCCCTCTTGAGCCTCCCTCCCTCCCCCCACCCATCCCCTCCTCGAGGTCATCGCAAAGCACCGAGTAGCTCTCCCCGTTCTGTGCTGCTGCTTCCCACCAGCCAACTATTTTACATTCAGTACAGCAGCCTTTTTATTTTTATTTATTTATTATTTATTTATTTTTACATCTTTATTAGAGTATAATTGCTTTACAATGGTGTGTTAGTTTCTGCTTTATAACAAAGTGAATCAGTTATACATATGCATATGTCCCCATATCTCCTCCCTCTTGCGTCTCCCTCCCTCCCACCCTCCCTATCCCACCCCTCCAGGTGGTCACAAAGCACCGAGCTGATATCCCTGTGCTATGCAGCTGCTTCCCACTAGCTATCTACCTTAAGTTTGGTAGTGTATACATGTCCATCAGCCTTTTTTTTTAATTTAATTAATTTATTTATGGCTGTGTTGGGTCTTCGTTTCTGTGCAAGGCTTTCTCTAGTTGTGGCAAGCGGGGGCCACTCTTCGTCGCGGTGCGCGGGCCTCTCACTATCGCGGCCTCTCGTTGCAGAGCACAGGCTCCAGACACGCAGGCTCAGTAACTGTGGCTCACGGGGCTAGTTGCTCTGCGGCATGTGGGATCTTCCCGGACCAGGGCTCGAACCCGTGTCCCCTGCATTGGCAGGCAGATTCTCAACCACTGCGCCACCAGGGAAGCCCCATCAGCCTTTTTAAAGAGAACGAGCTGGCTGAGTGGGTCTAGGAAGTATATCTACCGATTAGAAAACATGAAACACTCTTCTAAATGTTCACAGTGTTTCAAAGAAATGTGTTAAGTTACCATGTACAATTTGTATATTAAGGACTCGTTTTCACTGATTAATAAGCACAGGAGGGGAAATGATTTTTAAGAAAAGCTTCAGCGGCCATCGAGATGGTAACATTAATTTCCCTTGCCAACAAATGTTTGAAAAAGTTAAGACTCAGCAAGTATAGAACAAGCTGAGTCCTTCAGACAAGAAGAAATGAGCAATATACCATCGACCTCAACCACGAGGTGGTGGCGAGGCAGATTCAATTAACTGATAGACACCATTTTTGCTGATCTTTATATTTCTTTTCATGTCATTTTTTTTTTTTTTTCCATAAAGGCGATTCATAAAAGTGATGCGACTGGCTTGGGGGTGAGGGAGGAAGCGTTCCATGCAAGGGCGGTAGCACAGGGTGAAGAAAGCACGCCTGCTGGGTGACTCCAGGCTTCAGGAGATCTTAGCAGAGGAGGGAAGGGAGCCTGCAGGCAGGCTGGGGGCACAGTCCAGGCCCACCAACACCCATGGCATCCAGCTTCTGGAATGTCCTGCCTCAGAATGCATTCACCCAAAGGAGAAAAACTGGCTTCCACTGTAGTTGCAGAGGAACATCTGTGGGTGGGCACGGGGTACATTTCGCCTGAAGCTGTGGGACAGGGCTTGAGGGTGAGCGGGAAGCAAGCTATTTATTTGGGGTGGCATCGGGCTGTCCCCTCCCCTCCTTGCCAGGGGCCTCTTTGCCCTCCTGGCATGATGCGTACCCCACCCCATCTGGTGGCCACAGCCCCTGGACCCCCTTCCAACTCGGAGGAGGGACCCCTCAGCCCTTGGGCCTCCCCGCTGCACCCCTACCAAGGCTTGCCTCTCCCAGGCAGGGAGTCTGTGGGGAGGTGCCCTCGGGTGGTGGAGCTGGCAGCCTTGGAGCGCCCTGGCCCTGACTTCCACCAGGGACAGCCCGAGGGAAACAGCGCAGAGGCGAGAGGGCTTGTTCTTCTCCCGCATGAAGTCCTTGGTGGAGACCGTAGCACAGGGGCTTGCAGGCAGCCACAGCAGAGAACCACAGACTGAGTGGCTTCAACAACGGACACTCGTGGTCTCACAGCTCTGGAGGGTGGAAGTCTAAGGCCAAGCAGTCGCAGGGTTGGTTTCTCCTGAGGCCTCTCTCCTTGGCGTGTAGACAGCCGTCTTCTCCCTGCGTCCTCACTTGGCCTTCCGTTTTTGTCTGTGTCCTAATCTCCTCTTATTTAGACACAGCCATATTGGATCAGGGCCCATTCCAATGACCTCATTTTAACTTTACCTCTAAAAATCCTATCTCCAAATACAGTCACATTCTGAGGTCCTGGGGGTTAAGGCTTCAACCTAGGAACTTGGTGGGGGGAACACGATTCAGCCCATAACACAGGTCCCAGCTCTTGTGCCAAATCGGCTCCTTTCTGTGGCCCTGAGCTCTGCAGATTCCTCACCCGTACCTGGGACTTTCCTCTCTGCTGTTGAGCTGCTGCTAAGCGATCATAAACAACAGCATCTCCACTAGGTGGGATCTCCCTGTGGGGAGCACATGGCTACCACTCCCCCTCAGCACACAACCTTGCAGTTGGGGAGTGTGATCACGCACACACAAACATGCACACGCACACACACATGCACCTGGCAGCTGGAGAAGATCCTGGTTTGGGGGACACAGGTGTCCCCCAACCCCCATTCCAGAACTTCTTCTGTGTGTATCTGACCCCAAGCTCCGATCCTCCAGCCCGGCCTCGCCTCCAAAACCCTGGAGCTGTTGCTCACGCTTCCCGCTAGACCCCAGCTCTTGGCTTGGAGAGATCGAATGCCAAGATGCTCAGTGACTGATTAATCTGTTCATTGCACAAACGTGCCTCAGAGGCTGGTGCGGTGCCAGGCACTGAGCCAAGGGGTGGTGACGTGGACAGGGACGTCCCAAGGAGCCTGCCACCGAAAGCTCAACGCTGGGGGCAGATGCAAGAGCTTGAAACCTTTTCCAGCGCTGATGGTGTCCCGGGGCTCCTCAGATGTCTGCTCTAACCTTTATGTCCACCCAGAGAATTAGGCAAAAGTGCCACCACTTTATTGGAGAGAAAACCGAGCTTCACAGAGGTTAACCGGCAAGGCATGGAAGAGGAACCCAGGTCTGCCTGCCTTAAGGCCTGGGGAAGGAAGACCTCAGCTAGAAGACTGCCTGGTCCGAGTGTCACTCGTCCGCGCCCCCCATACGCCGTCCCCCGCGCCCCCGTGCTACAGCCACCAGCATCCCGTTCTATAGCGATGGGCAGCCTGGTGCATCCCTCCCCCAGCTCTGACAAATGAACTAACACGCGGGCCCCCACGTCACAGCCTCCCCTGACCTGCGGCATTAAGGACCCAGTTTCGAGGCCGGGGGTCCTCCGGCTCCAGAATGCCTGTACTTGGTGTCAGAGCTCAACAGCTTTCGGGAAGAGAGCAGCCGCCTTGTAAATGCTGCCTGCCCACCCTGCGGCCTGAGAGGAGCCCCGGGGCAGGGGGCAGGCCAAACTGCTGTTTGTCTGGGCGGAGCCTGTTGTCACACTGTTTATCCACCTCTGCCGGGGCCCCAAGCCCCTCTGTGTGCTGCAGCTGCAGAGTCGGCCCTGAGCTCCCGCGGTCACCGTCACCGCACTGCTGGTTCCAGCTCCCCGCTCCGCCTGGCCTCCGCGCCCCGCTGCCCTGTGCTCTGCTCCACGAGGAGGCCGGAGTCCGCCAAGGCCACTGACCCACCGCTGGAGCCATGGTAGGTCCACGTGGCCAGCCGTTCAGCCCTGCCGGTTCGCATCCAGGCTGGGCCTGTGAACCCGGCTTGGGAGGGCAAAATGAGGGCAGGTGTGGGGCTACTGGGAGGCCACGGGGAAGCTCTTGAATGGACTCGTGGCTCTGGGGAGCCACTGGGGTGCTGGGGAAGGGATGGAAGAGGAAGGCCAGGGTTGGACTCCTGTGTCTTTCCTTGTTTGCTCTGTGAGCTCGGGGAGGTTACTCTACCTCTCTGGGCCTCAGTTTCTGCTCCTGAAAATGAGAGTAATATTACCTATTTCGTGGCTTTATTGTAAGGCCTAAATAAGGTGTGACATGCGGAGCGATATGACATGTGGAGGACCCCGGAACAGTGCCCAGCACACAGCGGGGATCCCACAAACGGGAGCCTTTTCCCCAAGGCTCTCTGCTGTGGCCTCCAGGCCAGGAAAGGCTGCTGTGCTGTCTCCCAGGGCTGCACCCCTGATCTCACATAGCCCCCTTCTCCGAAGGAGGGGCCGAGTTTTCTGCGTGATCTGCTGCGCTGACCATGGGGGTCAAGGGAGATCGTAGCAGGAAGCCCGCACGTGGCTGCACGGCTTTAGAGCTTCCACTGTGTGTTTGAGCTTCCCAGTGGCTCAGCGCCGTGGCCCCAGCCTCCCATCTCTACAATGTTGGGACAGTGGGATGGGGGTCAGGGCAGCGCTAGACCACTTACTGGTGGTGACCCGGGTTTTGTCCTATCACAGGTCCATGGGTACAAAGGAGTCAAATTCCAAAACTGGGCGAGGACCTATGGCTGTTACCCAGAGATGTACTACCAGCCCACGTCCGTGGAGGAGATCAGAGAGGTGAGTGTCCATCTCAGCACGGCGCGCAGTGGTCCAGCCGCTGGACCTCCAGCTCCATCTGGGCCCTGTGGACCAGGCCAGCCCCAGAGAGGAGGTGGGCTTCCCAGCTAAGACCCTCATCCCCAACCCAGAACTGCTGGTGGGGTGACAGCTCCACGGGGTCGGCGGCAGCTGAATGCTGCTGCTGCGTGACCACTTGTGCTGTCTGCCAACGACTGCCAGATTTTTATTTCCGGCTCAGGTCTCTTCTCTGAACTTCAGATTCGTTTTGACTTCTTTCATCAAAGACATCACAAACTTACATGCCCCAAATGATGTCTTTGATGTTTGCTTTCAACCTGTCCTAGTGTAGTCTTCCCTGACTCTATACCAACCACAGGATTGCTCAGACTAGAAGCCAGGAAGTAGGTCACTGTCCCTTATCGGACCTCAGCAAGTCCTGCCTCAGAAGTTTCTAGAACCCACCTCCCTCTCTCCGGCACTGTTGTCACTAAGCCCAGGCCACCATCCCTTCCTCACATGCCGTGGCCTGTGATGGCCTCACCCCTGATCTCCCAGCTTCAGTTCTTACCTCCCTCAAATGCACTTTCCACAATCAGCAAAAGTAATTTTCTTAAAATCTAAGTTGAATTGGGCTACGTCCTTGCTCTTCAGAGGCTTTCATTGTTTGTGGAATAAAACCCCAACTCCTGACCCCAAGGCCATGCGTCCTCTGGGCCTGTCTCTCCGGCCTCCCTAAGGTCCCTCTCTCCCGGGCTCGCTACCTCCGTACCTTAGTACTTGCTGTTCCCACTGCCTGGGATGCCTGTCCCATCCCTTTTAATGAGACTGACTCCTTTTCATCCTTTAGGTCTCAAAGTAAATCACCTCCTCAGAGGCTTCCCAGACCATCTTATCTGAGTATTTCCCCATCTTCTGTATCTCAGCTCCTTGCTTATTTCTTTCATTGCATGTTCAAAACCTGCGGTGATTTCATTGACATGAACATTTGCATGCTTTTGTCTCTCTCCCTCGTAAGGATTTAAGACCATGCTTGTCTTTTCCATTTTATCCTCAGCACCCAGCCCTGTGACCTGTACACAGGAAGCACTTACTGAATATTTGTTGAATGAGTGAATGAATGAATGAATGAATGGACATGACCCGACTTCTGCCCTTAAAAGACTTGCCCCTAAGACAGGCTGCATGTGACTAACCCCCAGAGGATGCAGATGTTTCACTAGCACCAGCAGAGAACAGAGAAGGGAGAAATTCATGCTGTGTGTGTGTGCATGGGTGTGAGTCTGTGCACAGGTGTGTGTGAGGGCACTTGGAGGAGAGTGGTGGGAACGGCACTGTCACCACTAAGTGATCAGCACCACTGCTTCATATCTGTGGTCTCATCCATCCCCACAACCCCCTGTGAGGTAGTGATTATTACCCCCATTTTCCAGATGAGCAAACTGAGGCTCAGAGAGGCTTTGTAATTTTCCCATATTAGTAAGTGTCAGAGCCAGGATCCAAACCAGGATTCAAAACCCCCAACCTCTCATGCATGAGAATGAAGGAAGGTGGTCACTGAGCCGGGCCCTGGAGGATGCATAGGAGCTCCACAGGGAGCTGGGCAAGGGCAGTGTGAGGTGAAGGAAGGTGAGGAGGACACCTGGAGAGTCGTCAGACATGGCTGCCGGAGGGTGCGTGGGGGAAGGGGAGGGCAGAAGAGGAAGGCTGGGAGGCAAAGTGGCTTTGAACAGATCTGAGGGCCTTGAATGCCGAGGCAATATGCTTCATTCTGAGCTGAGGGGAGAGGGTGGAGGGGTGCTGATGTCCTGCGTGTGAAGGCTGTTTCTAGCCGTGCTAGCCTGCACGACTGTGAATTACAAATAGGAGGAGGCTACTGCAGGCCCGTGTTTCCCTGGAGAGCTGTTGGGGTGGGGGGGGGGGGGGGGGGAGGGAAATAAAAATAGTTGTGTGGTCAGGGGAGTGTGAGGGAGATGGTGTTAAACAGATGTCTTCATTGTATCGACATTCAGTAGAACCTGCAGGCTTAAACGTGCTTCGCGCGTGGGGGTGGGCGTGGAAGGCAAGTGCTATGGAGCAGTTCCCAATCTTCCTTGACCCCGGAACCCCTCGAGGTATAAATCCTGAGACTGGTGTTCCACGCCCAGACACAAGGGTGAAAGAGTATGGATTCCTTTGAGTGACACCATGCATTCATTTCTTTATTCATTCAAGATCACTAGAGACGGCCTATTCCCGTCAGGCCCAGGGTAGACACGGGGGGCTACGGTGTCAATTTAAGCCACCACCCCTGCCCCCGGGAGCCTTCATCCACCCTGGGAGGCAGCTGAGGCCCACGTGGGCCAACACGAGGAGACGGGCCTTCTTCTGAAGGTGCTGGGTGCCTTTGAAGGGTTTTGCCCAGGAGAAGAATGTGATCAGGTTTGCCAGCTGCCTCGGGGAGCACGCCCAGGAGCCCCACTTTGGGGTGCTTCCTTGGTTCTCCCTCCCACTCGCTCGCCGGCCCGTCTCTCTGGCTCTTTCCCGGAGTGGCCTGCACAGCGGCCTCCAGCCAGGCAGGGCCTTGGGGGGCTGGGGGCCCAGAGCCTGGGTGGCCCCGCGGCCTCACAGGGAAAGGCCTGGGCCGGGGCTGACGCAGGTGTTGCCTCAGCAGGTGCTGGCCCTGGCCAGGCAGCAGAACAAGCGGGTGAAGGTGGTGGGCGGTGGCCACTCACCTTCAGACATTGCCTGCACCGACGGCTTCATGATCCACATGGGCAAGATGAACCGCGTCCTCAAGGTACCAGGAGCCCTGGGCTCCCCACCTCTGCTGGGCCCCATGCCGGGCAGCCGTGGTCTCCGTCTCAGAGTCCAGGTGGAGACTCCTTAGCCTTTTCCCTTGGGCCTTATCCCCTCCCCACCTCTGAGTCCCAAGGTGACCCCCAATTCCTGGTCCCCAGTGATCGCCCCTCCCCGGGGTCCTGCCTGGGCTTGCTCAGGCCTCTCGTCTGGTCTATGCGCCCCCTTGTGGCCACGGAGAGGATGTCCTTCCTCCCCTCCGGCCAGAGCCTCCTCTCCACTTCTCTAGAACAAGAATGGCAAGTCAGGCCCCCAGAGGTGGACTCACAATGACAAATCCAGAAGGCTTTGCACTTAACTTGTTTTACGTATGGGGAAACTGAAGATCAGAGAGGGAGAGTGATTTGCCTAAGGTCACACAGCCGATCAGCAGCTGAGCGTGCCGCAAACTCAGGGGTCTGACATCAGCCCTGTGCTGGGATACTGTCCATGCAATTCAGCCATGAATTCAGGCCCCACCACCACCACCTCAGGTGTCTGCCTGGAAGTGAGAGTACTGGCAGGCGTGCCGCCCGTTAGGAGGGCTCCTGTTCTCACCTGGCCTGACGGGGCCAGCTCCCCTGAGCTGTAATTTTTGCCAGGTACCCTCCCCTCCAGCCCTGCTAGCAGAGGTTCTGGATTTCTCTCTACTATTTATTTCCTGATTTGCTCAGGCTGACGGTCACCACCCCGTAGAAAATGTTCCAGTCAAGACATCAGTCATGGCAGAAATTAACTCTGATCGCTAATTAGTGAGGACTGCGCTCCAGTAATTGATTTTGCCAGGCTCTGCGCTCGGGGTCAATGGAACGTGTGTTTTGGAGTCACACAGATGGGATTCTCATCTCCGTTCCACCACCGATGTTTGTGTGACCTTGGGCAAGTGACTTCAAGTCCCTGAACTTGAGTCTCCTCGCTGTGAAATGGAGGGAGACTTCTCCTCCCCCAGCCCCCCGGGGCAGCCATGGTTGGGGGCGGTGGGTCTCAGGACACAGCACAGTTCTCCCAGTCCCGCGGTGACTTGGGCAAATCCCTTCTCTTCCCTGCTTCTTATTTCTTTCCCCTGTGAAAAGAAGGGTTACGCAGAGTAGTCCCAAAGCCCCAGCACTCTAGGGCTCTGTCTGCACCCCTTTGGCTGCCTGTAGCGGGAGACACGCTTGTACTCACAGCCCTGCGGGACTGCAGGACAAGGACTGAGCGACGGCCTAGCTCATCCCAGTCTCTGCTGGTCTCTTGCAGGTGGACATGGAGAAGAAGCAGGTGACCGTGGAGGCCGGCATCCTCCTGGCTGACCTGCACCCACAGCTGGACAAGCACGGCCTGGCCTTGTCCAAGTAAGAGCCACCTCCCTGATTCCCAGGTGGGCCAGTGATGGCCCCTGATCCCTGCCCTGGCCTTGGCTGGACACTCAAGCATCTGTCAGGAGCCAGAGAGAAGCACTTCTCAGGATGCACCTGTTTCTCTGGACCCCTGTTCCTCCCCCACAGAGTACCCATCTCCCCATCCCCTGTTTTCAGGGGCTATTGTGTGAGAGTAGAAAGAAACAGGCTAGCATTTAAAACAGTCTAGTACAGGGATGGGAAAACCATGCATTAAGCCTTTCTTAAAACTTGAAATAAAACTATATGAACCCAAACCGAAAGATATACAAAGTAAGCACTCAGAGAAGCAGAAGAGCATATGCTGATTGAGACACAGGGCTTCCTGGTCTACCTATATGTGGCTTCACTTGTTTTTCCTTCCAAACATGGTATCAGTGAATGCTCAAGTTTAATATCAGGAGATTTCCACTGAAATAGGAAATGAATTTGGCTGAATGCAGCCAAAGGAGTGAATGTCTAACTGTGGGACTTCAACCACTAGAAACAAGTGACAGAATTATTTTGGATATTGGGGTAGCAATCTCTTCACAGCTGGAAATTGCCACCATAGAAGCCTGTGGTTGGTCTTCAAGTGCGGGTGGTCCATTCACCTAGCTTTCTCATTGCAGGCCCTGAGGCATCACTATACTTTTTCACTCTGAAAACCACTCTGTTTCTGCCTCTCCAAGGGTCGTGGCAACTCAAACATTTATGGAGTGTCTACCATGTGCAGGCTTTGTTCAGGCCCAGAAGAGGCCAGGATGAATAAAACCCAGACCCATTCACAAGGAGCTCCCTGCAAGCGGGGGAGACAAACCCACGAAGTGACAAGCGTGACACAAAGCAAGAGGCTCAATGCCAGAGAAGTGTTCAGGGCACCGTGGTGTTCTTGGGGGCCCGTGTTCAGCCTTGGCAGGCAGGGGAATGTGTGAATGGATGGGAATCAGGGCAGGCTTCCTGCAGGAGGGGCCCTTTGGTTGAGCCCTAAAGGATGACCTGATGTGAACCAGAAAAACGAGAGGAGAGAAGGGATTCAGGCAGAGAGAGCAGCGTGAGTGAAAGCCCAGGAGAGGGAAGGTGTGGGAGTGGGCAGGGGTCTGTACGCAGCTAGCGGACACATCTCCGGGACCAGCAGGAGATACGTTCTGTTAATCACAGGCTTTAGCTTCTGGGCCCTGGAGCATCTCTGTGCCCTGTTCATGATATATCTCTGTCCTCCCTGGGGACCCAGTCCTCCTCAAGTACCTGCCTGCACAGGGCTCATCTGCCTCTCAAAGGGAGTTTGGATGTCCTGTCCTGTGTATCCCAGGGGCCACCTAGGTCTGCAGCTCCAAGGATGCTGTGGGGACCTCAGGAGTGGCTGGGGGCTTGGGGGGAAGCACAGAGCTGTGTCAGGCCACATGCCGGTGGCTTGATGCCCTCTCTCATCATATCATCACCTGGGAGGAAGGCCCCATTTAAGGATGCAGAAAGCAGGGTCTTGAGGCAAAGGTGCTTCTCAAAGTCATGCAGCTGGAAAGCTCTGGAGCTTCCACTGTGTGGTGAGCCAGAGGGAGCAGGACACAGGCGCTGTTCCTAAGAGGGAGGACAGCAGCTTGGTGAAGACCCCAGCTCCAGAAGCAGGCCTGGGTGCAATCCTGCTTCTACCTCGTACCAGCTGTCACTCAAGTTCCTTGACCCTTCTGGGCCTCAGAGTTCTCATCTAGAAAATGGGGCTGTGAAATAGGGGCGCTCAGAGCCCTGCGTGAGTCAAAGGTGCCCCGCATAGTAATTACTAAGTAAGTGTCGGTTCCCCCTTCATTTTCCTGGCTCTGTCTCGCTCCACAGACTCTGGAAGTGACCTTTCCCCTTGTTCTCTCCACCCCTCGGAGGACTAAAGTCTAATCCTTCCTTCCTAGTTCTTCCTCCCTGAGGGCCTCACGTTTGTCCAGCTTATTTCTTTTACTTATTTATTTATTTTTATTGAAGCATAGTTGATTTACAGTGATGTGTTTGTTTCAGGTATACAGGAAAGTGATTCAGTTTCATATACGTGTGTGCGTGTATTCTTTTTCAGATTCTTTTCCATTATAGGTTATTCTACGATATTGAATATAGTTCCCTGTGCTATACAGTAGGTCCTTGTTGGTTATCTATATTATATATAGTAGTGTGTATCTGTTAATCCCAAACTCCTAATTTATCCCTCTCTTTCCCCTTTGGTAACCGTAAGTTTGTTTTCTATGTCTGTGAGTCCACTTGTGGTCTGTAAATAAGTTCATTTGTGTTGTATTTTAGATTCCACATATAAGTGACAGCATATGGTATTAGTCTTTCTCTATCTGACTTACTTCACTTAGTATGATAATCTTGAGGTCCATCCCTGTTGCTGCAAATAGCATTATTTCATTCTTTTTTATGGCTGAGTAATATTCCATTGTATATACGTACCACATCCTTATCCATTTATCTGTCAATGGACACTTAGATCAGCTCTTTCTTTTAACGTGGTCCCAAGCCCATTTCCGTGTTGCTCGTTAGTCTCTGTGAGCTTCATGGACAAGGGTAGACTTACTGCAGGTTGGTGAACCATCCCCTCCCCTGTCATGGGCACGTGGTCGTCCTCAGTTCTTCACTATCGTTCATGACGCTGTGATGAACGTCTTCGCGCATCTGCCTGTCCACACGCTGGGGCATTCCCTGCGACAGGATTTCTGTGGTCTTCTTTTAACATTCTGGTATTTTCACAAGGGGTGATATCACCAAGTCACCCAACTAATGTGGACAAAGAGGTAAGAGTGACACAAGGGTGAGGGCAGAGGAAGGAAGAGGCGTCGGTTCCTTTCCTCCTCTTCCTGTTTCACCAGGGCCGCCCCAGGTCCCATTGCAGGAGGGTATGAGGCTAGATTTTCTCATCCTTGTCAATCTGCCTCTTTGGAAGCCAGGGCCCTCCTGCCTCTGGGGCCCTGGGTCTGCGCTGAGGGCCAGGTTGGGTCCGATCCCTGCCCTGCCGGCCGGGCCCATTTCTCAAGTGTGAACCAAGGCAACTGGGCTATCGTGAAGCGTGCAAAGCTCCAATCTCCTTGGCTCCCAGTGGGCCTTCTGTAAACACTGGTTCCGTTCTCCTTTCAGACGGGGCTGGGATGTCTCAGAGAAAGCTCCTGAGAAGTAAGATTTCTGAAAAACTCCTGACCCACTGTCTTTCCTGGACCCTGAGATCGGAGCACATCTTGCTAATTCCTGTCCTCAGAGCCCACGCCGGTGGAGGCATCTTATTCCCCTTTGGGAATCTGGTCCTCGTGCACACAGCACCCTCTTATTATTTGTTCCAGGGCCTGGAACACCAGGCTGAGGGGTGCGGGCTTGACCTGGAGGCCCCGGGGGACCCTGGAGGTTTCTGAGCAGGGGGTGACATGGTCTCCTTCTCCTGCATCCTCCTACCATCCTGGGATGGCTGTGTGTGCAGTTCTGACATGGGGACTCTACAGGCCTCAACAGGCTGGGTCTGGAGAAGTCTTAGTAGGAGCGTTTGGCCTGTGGTTGGTGGAGAAGATATTGCTGGCAGATGGAGGTCGGAGGAAAGGGATGTTCTCGGCTGCAGAAAGCCCAAGGCAGGCAGGCAGGCCTCCCCTCGGAGCTGAGCCGTATCCCCACTAGCTCATCTGACGGGCCACGCGGCTCACAGACAAGGGCTGGCTTGAGTCAGACGATCTAAGATGTGGTAAGTTGGGGATGAGATTCCCAGGCAGGAGATGGATCAACTATTCTGCTCTGAGGGGCCTCACACCGAAACCCTAGGGGGCATTGTCACAGGAAGCCTAACTGGTCCCTTCGTCCCTCCCCCTCCCTCCAGCCTGGGAGCCGTGTCAGACGTGACTGCAGCTGGCGTCATCGGGTCCGGAACACACAACACGGGGATCAAGCACGGCATCCTAGCCACCCAGGTGAGTCTATCTGCTTCGCCACTGACTGCCAGGGAGAGGGGAGGTTGGGACGGAGCCCCTTTCACCCTTTGCACCGTGGCTGCTGGACAAGCAGGTACTCCAGGGCAGTGTCGGCACAGCTCCACGAGGGCCTCAAACCCACCCGGTCTCACCTCTGACGGAGACTCGGCAGGGGTCCTTCAGAAACATCGTCTCCCCTAACCCTCATCCGTTCCCAGCAGACACAAGTGACGAAGGCGCCCTCGTGCATGTTGACGCAGCCCTGCCTCTCAGGAGCCTCCTGGCCACCCTGGGGAAAAGGGCAAGCAGAGCAAAGGGGTCCATCCCCGTTGAAAGGTCTTAGGCAGGAGTCAGGCAAAGCGAGGGGACTTTCCAGATTAGCAAGTCGGGGAGGAGCCAGGAAGAAGCCCAGCACGGGCGGGCCTGGGATCCACACCTGACCTTCACCAAAAAGCATTTCTTAAACTTCACGAGAGCCCAATTTGGGGCTCAGACCTGCGCCCCAGACCTAAGCCTGATGTGTGCTGTGTGTGGCACATAGGCAGATTTTTAACTCCTCTGGACATCCCTGTTTTCAGCTGTCACCTGGGGAGAATACTCCTCAACCCAGGGAGGGTGTTCAATGAGACAGCATGTGTCAATGCCCGGGGGCTGGATGACAGTTCACGACGCCTGCGTCAGGAGCCACCCCTTTGGGGGGCAAACTCCTTTAACTTTCAGTTTTAGGAGGAGCTTCTAACAGGCCAGGCTATGGCTCCGTGAAGCAGGCTGCTGGGGGGTACCCGTGGAGGCTGGCCGCTCACCCTCGGGGAAGAGAGAGAGACCCTCATGCTGGCCGTAACTCACCGCGTGCCTCCCTGCCGAAGTCCACCTACACTCTGGGCCATGTGGCCTCTGGCCATCGGAACATCACTGCTAAGTGCTGGGGTTTGGCTTTTGCCTCTCAGCTCTTTGACTACTGTCTGTGTGACCAGGGAGGGGACAGGTCTCTTCCCCTCTGGCTGCCTCAGTTTGCTCCCCTGGAGAATGGGGATGATCGCAACAGCAGTGCGTGCAGGTGCTTAGCTGAGTGTACACAGTTAGTGCTCAATACATGTTTGTGATGGGTTTGTATGTAGGACAAGGCCCTTTCCAGAGCCCACACTACGCTGTCAAAGAAATTTCAGCATTGTGGCGGCACTGACCGCACTGATGGCTCACGTGTTCCCCAGTCAACCAGCCAGGAGCACGGCTCCTCTGTTCTAAGGAAGACGGACGCCCCGGCAGGTGCTGTCTGACTGTGGCTTCTGGGAGCTGGTCCCACGTGCTCCAGTCCAGAGCTGCATGGGGTGGAAAGAAAATGGCCAACAGCACTTTCCAAGGCTTCACTTTGTTTTCTCACACACCACGAGGGGGAGCCACTTCAGAGTTACTGTCCCTTAAATCCGCACTTTGCTTTCTCATCAACCTTATGCACTCACACTGGTGGCCCTTGTCCTTTTCCTCCCCCCTCTTTCAAGCACAAAAGCCTCAGAGAATCACCAGGCAAGGGAGAGGCATCCTGAGGGGATGCCGTGAGCCAGGGAAGGGGAAAGGCCCAGGGCATTCGACCACGAAGCAAAGCAAGGTAGGTTTTGTGGGACCTGATTCCCAGGCACTCAGAGCCCTCCATAGACTTGTCGTTACCCCCTCAGAGGGGGTTCACCGTCCAGGAGAGCCCAGTGGTAACTGGGGCTGAAGGATAATAAACCACCCCTCCCAATATTTGGCCACAGTCCTAGTCTGCTCTCCAGGGCTGAGGTCAAGCTGGTTGCCTCAGTTTCTACAAAATGATCAGCAGAGTATGGAAAAGAATTCTGAGTGGCCAGAAATCAAAATGCACATGAGATTTACTGGCCACTTCCCTGAGGAGGCTCAGCTGAGCAGCATGGGCCCCTGCACGCAGGAGACGGGAGGGGACTGGCGTATTTAATATCCACTGTATCCCAGGCAGTTAGCTGGGTGCGTCACATACTCTCTCTGAGTTGGTTATTCTCCTCATTTCACAGATGAGGGAACAGAGAGGTTAAGTCACATGCCCAAGGTCACACAGCTGGTGAACCACTGTCCACCTTTATTGTGACTGGACCCGGCTGCAGTGTTTCACTGGCAGCTCTCATGCTCTGCCCTGGATCTCAGACAAAGTCTGATTTTTTTTTTTTTTTTTTTGCGGTACACGGGCCTCTCACTGTTGTGGCCTCTCCCGTTGTGGAGCACAGGCTCCGGACGCACAGGCTCAGTGGCCATGGCTCACGGGCCCAGCTGCTCCGCGGCATGTGGGATCTTCCCGGACCGGGGCACGAACCTGCGTCCCCTGCATTGGCAGGCAGACTCTCAACCACTGCGCCACCAGGGAAGCCCCAAAGTCTGATTTTTATAAAAATCATTCTGACGCCCTCACTCCCACAGAGGGCCACCGTGCCCCATTTCTGCCAATGTCTCCTCTTTCGTCTTGGTTGCTGTTAATTAGAATTAGTTCAGCTGTATCTGTTCTCTCACCCTGAGCACCCAGCCACCAACTGCACACGTCGAAAGCAATTTGCATCCAAACGAGCAGGTAGCAGAGTGTGGAAAAGTACTTCCACAGGCAATGCAAGAGGATTCCTCTGGAAATGGGGGCCAAGGGCAAGGACACTGACGATAACCGCCTGTCTTCAACTGCGCAGCCCACTCTTTGCAGAGACCAGAGGTTTCCAGTTGTGTGTGGCCAAGTAGGGGAATCTAGTTCCTGAGGCAAGTGAGAGGTCCCCGAAAGAGAAGATGGACTCGAGTCAGTGCCCAGGGGGGCAGCAGAGCCTGCAGGGGACCCTGGTCCCCGGGCTGCATGTTGGGACAGCAGGGCCGGCTCTCCCCCGGATGCACACACATCCTCCCTTTGCCTTCACAAGCCCCCTGTACCCAGGGCCTCAGGGCTCTTTGGAGCCTGTGTCATCTTAGACTTCTTCCGGGCAGAGGACAAGCTCGCTGCATCCCGAGTGTGAAGTCCACAGAATGACCAAGGCAGTGGTGGGAGGACAAGCCACTGGGGTCCCGCGGAACCACATCGGCTGAGGGCCGATGCCACCCAGACACAGCCTCCTTCTCCCCATTTCCCCTTCCTCCCTCCCCCAAGACTGAGGCTCCCTCAGGCTGTGACTGGAGACCCAGCTGGGAAAGTTCCCTGTGACCAGATGACGGCGGGCTTCTGGGACTAGGAGACACCTGGCCTCACTTCCAAGGACAAACGGGGAAGTGAGGGCATCATGCAAAGTCTAGGGGTTCTGAAATGTGGCTCTTCTCCCACTTCCAGGTGGTGGCACTGACCCTCCTGACGGCCGACGGGACCATTCTCTTGTGCTCTGAGTCCAGCAACGCAGAGGTGTTCCAGGCGGCACGGGTGCACCTGGGCAGCCTTGGAGTCGTCCTCACCATCACCCTGCAGTGCGTGCCCCAGTTCTACTTGCAGGAGACTTCCTTTCCCTCAACCTTGACAGAGGTACTGTCTCTCCTTCATCACCGCTCAGCCTCAGAAAATAAATGGAGGGCATTAGTAAGTCATGCACCACTGAGAGCCCCCGCGGCTCTGTAGGCCCCCTGCATGGGGCAGTGGGCTGACCTCACCAGACCTTCGTTGGCCCTACGTTACTGTAGCAGTATCCCTTTGTGAGCAGGTCAGGGGAGCTCAGAGGAACTGGATGATGGGGGGCAGAAAGGATAGCTTCTGATTGATAGCAGTGTTTTTTTGAATGAATGAAAACCCATGTTGGTTAGCTGGCTGGCTGGCTGGATGAATGGATACATGGATGGATGATGGATGGATGGATGGATGACGGATGGATGAATGAATGGATACATGGATGGATGATGGATGGATGGATGCATGAATGAATGGATGGATAAATGGATACATGGATGGATGATGGATGGATGCATGCATGAATGAATGGATGGATAAATGGATACATGGATGGATGCATGAATGAATGGATGGATAAATGGATACGTGGATGGATGCATGAATGAATGGATGAATGAATGGATACATGGATGATGAATGAATGGATACATGGATGGATGATGGATGGATGGATGCATGAATGAATGGATGAGTGAATGGATACATGGATGGATGATGAATGAATGGGTACATGGATGGATGATGGATGGACAGATGCATGAATGAATGGATGAATGAATGGATACATGGATGGATGATGAATGAATGGGTACATGGATRGATGATGGATGGATGGATGCATGAATGAATGGATGCATGAATGGATGGATGGATGAATGGATTATGGATGGATGGATGGATGACGGATGGATGGATGAATGAGATGAATGACTGGATGGATGGATGGGTAGCATGGAGTAGGCCTGAAATGCCTGGCAAGCATGGACCTATCCCTGGTAATCACTGATTATCCCTGGTAATCACTAAGCTATAGGACTCAAATCTATGGTTCCAACTTCCTTGGCATTTGAGTTCCTCCATAATCACCTCACCATTCAATACAGGTAGACCCTGTATTGCAGATGGAGTTGGCAGTGATGCAAGCACTACTGGCCCCACATGGTTATGGTGGGATTGGGGACCACATTGACCTGGCCTTGAACGCTGGCAGTACCACTTCCACGCTGTGACCCTGAGCCAGCCACTGAACCTTGCTGAGCCTCAGTTTCCTCATCTAAAAGCAAAGTAAATCATGTCTACCTTAGAGTATTGAGTCTGAGGATTAAATCAGATAACACCTGCAAAGAGTCTAGTTCAGTATTAAAACGTGTTCCCCATGGTACCTAGTCAGTGACAAATGGAAGATATTGTTACCTAGAATCTGGTCTAAAAATCCTTACCACTGGAATTTCTAATACATTAAACCTCAAGGCAAAGGATTTAGATCCACAAGGCCCTTTACTCAGAGGCATGGTGTTTGGTGAAACTTTAACCCCAGAAACTTTAATCCCAGTTGGTGGCTGAGAAAGTGATTCTGGGGATGCCTGTAGGGGACGCAGCATTGATCCCTAGAATATCAATGCTGAGCCTGCGTGGACCAGTATTGGCAAATGAGCTGCCTGATGCTTTGGCCCCAGAAGGAATTGCTTGGCAGTGACGAAGCATGGCTAAGCCAGGGAGCCCCATGCGGGTGGGGCTGGTCCATGTGACTGCTTGGAACCACCCCGGGCTCTGAGCTCTTGGGGGCCACCTCCAGTCTGCCTCCCCAGACCAGCGTTAAGGGGCAGATCTAGGCCTCTTTTTCACTCCAAGCAGGCCCTAGCTTCAAATATAGTCCCATTCTGAGGATGAGGACTTCAATATATGAATTTGGGGTAGATGCGTTTCAGCCCAAAGCAGAGATCAACAACCCCCTGGGCGGTTGACCATGGCAGTGGATGAGACCACCCACGGAGAGAGCGTCTGGGGGAGGAGACAAGGGAGCCTTAGTACTTAGTGTCCGGGACAGAGCAGCCAGGAGTCCAACGCTGTGGGCAATCAGGGATCAACACGAGGGTCTGGTCTTCAGGAGGCGTTGCTGACCTCGGTGAGAAAGGTCTCAGTGGAGCAGTGGACAGGTTAAAGCGTGGGTGGGCATCTCAGGCAAAGAAGGGAGCTGGGCAGAGACCCCCTTCAACCAGAAAGGGGCTCTAACGTGCTTAGTTGTTGAATCTATTTTCCTGCCTCTCACTTAGGTCAGAACTTGTTCATTTCGAAGCTGAATACTTTGACCCAGAGATAAAGAGATTGCTTCTTTTTTGCAAGTAGGACTGGCCCCCGGGCGCACACACACACACAGAGTTACACAACAATAACACTCAACGAGTATATTGTAAGGGCTCTGGGGAAGCAGGCAGGGCCCCAAGCCTGACTGTGCAGCTCAGTCTGTGTGACCTTGACCAAGTCCTTCAAACTTCTGAAGCCCCGGTTTCTTTGTCTTTTAAAAGTGGGGTCAGATTAGGTGAACCCCGAGGTCCTTTTCAGTGCGGACGTTCTGTAAACAGTGCGACACTTCAATACAAAACTGTGCCCGCACCTCGTCACCCAGCCCTGGAGACAGAGGGTCCTCTCTTACGTTATTCTTTCTTTCCCCTGGAGCATCTGGTGACGTTCTCGGCCCTTATCCCCAAGGAGGGGCATGAACCCTGGTGGGAAGGCCCCGTCCTTCCCCTGGGACCCCAGCCCATCCTGCAAGGCCTCCAGGGGCTAGACCCTGCTCTTCCCCTTCTTCCACGAGTCAGCAGATCCCCCGTGGATTCTCTCCCTACCCACTAGCGGCTCCTGCTGCTATGCCGCCCCGCGCCCTACACCCAGCTTAGGTCTCTGTCGGGCCCGGCATCAGCATATGCAGGACGCTCACGGACAGCCTTCCCTGCCCCCAGTCGCCGGCCACAGATAAGGACTGCACAGAGGGTGGGTGGCATTTACAGCCCTGGCATTTACTGCCGGCAGTATGTACAGTCAATCGGCCCACATTCAGTTCACTTTTGCCCTCTCTCCACTCAGAGCAGTCTTTAAGGGGCCCCTTCAAGGGGCTGGGAATGCTTGGGAAGAAGTGTAAGATGGAGGTGGGATCCAAGACCCAGGCTGCTTCCGTATAAGAGGAAACAGCCCATAGAGGAAGGAAGGAGGACCAATCGGAGAACCGTCACTAGACCAGTTGTTCCTCACTCTTGAGTTGCATGGAGGTTTTCCTTCTAATCCAAAAGGAAAAATAACGGGGCCTCACTTCCAGGAGCACGCAGGTTCCTGAGAACCGATAGGAAGACAGTAAACCTTCCTGGGTTCATACGTTGACATCGGCTCCCAGTTTCTTGCCATTCAGGTGTCTAGGAAGCTGTCCCACCTCCCCTGGGGCTGCAGACCACGCTGCCCCGAGCGTTTGCCTCTAAGTAGCAGCTGCTCCGAGATGCACACAGCCCCCCAGCCTCACGTCCCCTCTAGACGAGGGTGGGCTCCCTGATGGCCAAGCCCTCCAGGTGGGCTGGCCGTGAGCCACAGGAGGGCACTGGAGGAGAGGACCGGAAGCCAGGACAAAGGACTGTGATGATGGCTTCCTGCATGTAAAGGCGGGTTTGAAGATTCAGCTTCTCGGCCACTTTTCCTTCCCTTGTGTGTCTTTCCTTTCCTATTCCCTTCCTCCCATCCAGCACGTGTATCTATCCTGGGGCTTCCAGCCTGAGCTCTGGAAGAGTCCCAGGAAAGCTACCACGAGGGTGCAGTGTAGAGCCTGTGACACCTCTCTGAGTCAGACCGCCCTCTCCACTGACCCGCTGTGACTTTGCACAGTTCCTCCCTCCCGCAGCCCCAGCTTGGATTCCTCACCGATACAGTAGGGATAGGAGCACCACTGTCCCCACGGGGTTGCTGTCAGGACTCAAGGACACACAGCACTTGAGTCCACTGCCCTTTATAGCCTCCGAGAGAGGGACCCTCAGTCCGTCCTCTCTCTGGCTTTATTGGAAGAGAATACTACCTACTGATCCCTGCTCTGTGGGTAGATTCTAGACTCTGAACCTAACACTCCACTTTCCAGGCCACACATGCTGGTTGCCCTGATTTGCTCAGGAGCCTCTTACCATTTGTTTTCCCTCCTCCTTCCTGCTTGGTGGTCAGTTTCTGGAGAGCAGGGATGTTATCTGAGGTCTTTTTACCTCCCCAGGGTCCACAAAATACAGACCTCAATACCAGGTAACTCAAGGTCAGTGGGTCAAGAATTTATTGAAAATCCATCCCTTTCTGGGATTTTCCGCATCTCCTCCCACCCATGCCGTGTGTGGTCCACCTCAGGTGCAATTCCGTGCTTCCCGTGACTGATGTGCTTAACTACATCTCAACACGGTTTCTGAAGTTTGCTCAAAGCCATATGAGGGGAAGGGGGAGTTCGGAATCAGTGCTTCTGGGCAGTGAGGCCAAGAAAAGGGCAGCCTTCATGGCTTTTTATGACAGTCTCAGCATTTCTGACTCTTTGCAGTCTGATTGGTATGAAATCACAGCCCATGAGAAGACATGAGGATTTTGGAAATAGCTGTCAGCCTTTTGCCCTTTATGCCATGCAAACCATAATGAGATGTGAGGGGTACTGCTGGCTGCCTGCATCACCCGCTCCCGCTACGCTCTGGGAAGCAGGTTTGGTCCCAGGGACACACCAGCCTTGTCAGCAGCATCCCAGTGCCTGCCACTATCTTGGGTGGTCGTTCGCTGATGACTGGGTAACCCCCAGCCATGGGACATGGAGCTCTCAGCTTCTGCTCTTGAGCCTGGTAACCAGGTCCCAAGAACCAACTCAGTAGTGGCACTAATTTGGGGGGAATGAATCCTCTAGAACCCTTCATGCCAATAACATGCCAAGGAAGACTTCCTCTGGGGCCCAAACCCCTTTGGTGGTGCTCCCAGGAACCACAGGTCAGACCGAGGAAATCCATGATCCTAGGGACCCTCCTCCTCCAGATAGGATTGTTTGTAGGCCCTGAAGGGAGAGAGTTAAGCTCACAATGGGATGGGCCTTGGATGGGCTCCAGCCTTCAGCCACCACTCCACGCTAAGTTAGGGAGCACAGAGGGTACAGAGCTGGAGCGTGCATGGTGCATGCCTCCAGGAACTTAGAGTTTAGTGTCAGGGAAAAAGATATGCCTTGTCCCTCTAATTCAGGGAGGAAAAGAAACGACAGAGGTCAGGAGAGAGGCACAAAATGTGATGTGACAGTGGCTCTCATCACTCCATTCGGGGTGGAAATCTGGGCACGCATCTCTCAGTCACCAGAGCTGAGAAAGGGGCACCACTACATTTACTGCTAAGATTCTGGGCAATATAGGGTGGCCTTGGATGCTGGTACACGAGGAAATGGGGGATTTTCTGCTCTCTCGTGTCCTAGCCCCATCCTCCATCCAAGCCCCAGACTGTGTTCCCTGCTCTCCCAGGAGAAAATCAGCTCTGCCCGGAGGTGATGGGTCAGGGGTCCACCACCCAGTCAGGAGGGAAGTGATAGTAACAGGGTTCTGGAGTTTCTTCCTGAACTTTCCCCAGGTCTATAGCCCAGCAGAAAAGGCCCTCCTCTTCAAATAAGGAATCATAGGGCCCTCCCGCATTTATTGTGTCCAAGGAGCTACGCTAGCAGCTCTAGCGCAAGGGGTTGGGAAACTACGGCCTGCAGAGAAGAGCTGGCTTACTGCCTGCTTTTGTAAATAAAGTTTTATTGGCACACAGCCACGCTCCTTGTTAATGTATCCTCTGTGGCTGCTTTCACGCTACCATGGTAGAGTTGTGTAGCTGGAACAGAGACGATAAAGCCTAAAATATTTACTATCTGGCCCTTTACAGAAAGAAAATTTGCTGATCTCTGCCCTCGGGGAGAAACTAAATATGAATGAAATCGTCACTGACCTATAGGAGACGCTTGATGAATTTCAGAGACAGATGTATGCTTCAATACCTGTAATATACTTCTGGGATGGATGTGATATAAATAGAAACTGCTTAGAATGGAAGGAGAGAGCTTTGGGGCGGGGGGCGGGGGGGATTTACATGGAGCTTTAAAATTACAATACATCTCAGTTCAGATCCCACACTTTCCAGGTGCTCCACTGTCACTCGTGGCCAGTGGTGAAGGTACCGGACAGTGTCTGTAGAAGGAGGCTTCTTAGTCCTGAACTGTTTGGGCTCGATTCTGTAGGAAATGGAGCGCTGCTGGGGATTTTTGAGCTGTGTTTTGGGATGCTTCCCTGTGACATTGTCTGGAGAGATGAAAAATGGAGCAAATTATGAGGCTAGTGCGAGAGGGCCGGTGAGAGCGAAGAAGGCAGCTAAGTCAGCCACCGTCCTTGGCAGCAGGAGCGGATTATAGGGAAGACTGGAGAGACACGTGCGGAGATGCAATAGGGTGACCGGCAGCCTGGGCCTGGCATGGGCCGGGGGAGGTTTAGCATGGCAGCTGGGTCACTGGAAGGCAACCCATTCCTGTATCCCCCAGGCCCCATCAAGCATCGGTTAACAAGTTAGGGGGCCTCCCTGAAGTGACGACAAGGATCCAGAATTCTAAAGTTCCCCCACTGCTCCCAGATGCTCCAAACTGAAGTTTTAGGTGGGCTCACCTCAGCGCTTCACCTTGGCTTCACCTCCCTTCCTGATCAGATGTGGAAATCACAAGCTGTGTTTAACGGCTTATAAACTGCTTTCACATCCATCAACTCCCTTGGTCCTCACAACAGTCAAGGAAGGAAGGGAGGGAGGGAGGGAGGGAGGAAGGAAGGAAGGAAGGGACGGAGGGAGGGAGGGAGGAAGGAAGGAAGGAAGGAAGGAAGGAAGGAAAACTATTAAGGTCTTGGTTCTACAGATGAAGACACGCTGCCCAGAGGCCTCAGAGGGCTTCCTGAGGCTCACAGCTGAGAACTCGGGGGGTGGGGAATAGGCCCGGGGCCCTAAATGTGTGGCAGCATTGCTCACATTCAGAAACAAGACTCTCCACTGGGCACAGGCCACGTGACAGGCACTCGACTCGGAAGCTTCAGCATAGGTTATTTCATTTCATCTGCACAAGTGCCCACATGTTATTGGTGGGAAAACCAAGGCTCAGGGGATGGGGTTCCTGCAAGGTCGTGCAGCTGCGGAGCCAGGACTTGAATCCAGAGCTTACTCCAAGACCACTGCTCCTCCCCTCCCTCCCGGCTGCCTGTCAAACCCCAAATCTGTCTCTGCTTTGGCTCAGAACTTGTCCTGTATCAGCTTGATGGATGTCAAGGAGACATGATTTGCTCTGCGACGTTATTTCCACGTGTGCAAACGATGAGCCGTATTCGAGCAAGGCTCTCCTGTCCATTCCATTGAGGGCCCCCGACATGTCAGGCCTTGTGGGGATGAGCGACGATGACAATGACAATGTAACAGTAGCAGCAGCAGCAGCCTGTACCTGTACAGGGCTCGCCAAGCTTGTGACACCGTTTTAAGCACTTTCTAAGCATGAATGCATTTAATCTTCATAACAATCCTGACATGGGTACTGTTATTAATCCCACTTTACAGATAAGGAAACTGAGGCACTTGCCCAAACTTTAGATAGTAATTACTCAAGCCAGAACAAATGAGAGGTCATTTTTGTCCTCTAAGTTACTAAAGGAAGTCCACCTGTAAGTGGGTATTGTTAACGTCCAGCATCTTATAAGACACATTCTGTGCTATTTAGCAATGTTAGGACAAGTTCAGGTATTTTCTTTTGATGGTGGGCTCTGGCTCCCAGCATCCCCACCGTCGTCCTGTGACCAATATAATCTCTGCTCCTCCCTCCTGCCTCGGACAGGTTCTTGACAACCTGGACAGCCACCTGAAAAAATCCGAATACTTCCGCTTCCTCTGGTTCCCGCACAGCGAGAACGTCAGCGTCATCTACCAGGACCACACCAACAAGGTAGCCGGGGCATCTTCCGCTCCTCACACACAGCCCGCCATTCCCACACGTCCCCCCCCCCCCCCCCCCCCCGCCCCCCGGGCGCCCGACGCCCGTTACCGTGCTGATGAGCCGTGAGAGGTAAGAGGAAAAGCCAGGGTGAGCATCACTGAGCCTGAGGAGAGAAGCACAAAAGGCCAGAGGGTGGAAGGAAGAAGGAAGGTGGGCCCAGTAAGGGTCCATGTGTCTGCGGGGAGGGATGCGGAGGGGTGAGGTCAAGAGACAATCTAGATGTGGGGCAGGGGAACAGGGGACAGAGGTGTGGGCAGGACAGGATAGGCTGAGTCCTAGGAAGCTGGGCTAGACCTCAGAAGCCAGCTAATACATCCCACCTTCCCTCTAGCACCCCCATCTTTCCCACCCCCAGCCGTGCAGGTGAAGAAACCCTTGGTTTTGTCTCCCCACCGTGACCTTCTCAGCAGAAGGAAACAAAACCATCACTTAGGATGATGTTGATTGAACAAGTCAGGCAAAAGCCAGGACACCTACTGTGTGTAAGGGGCTGGCGTAGGGCTCATAAGGGATGATTGCTGGACACCCGGCCCGTGGGCTCTGAAGAGGAGGGACAGATGCACAGCTTTGTCGTGTGCAAAATACACGAATACCTGAACATATCAAAAAGCATGAAACCGAGGGGATAGGGCATGGGAATCAGCGGTAGGAGGTGAGGCGTTCAATCATCCTGGCAGGTGGGTCACCCTTCCCCCAGGACACACACACAGCCTCTCCTGGGACACATCTCCTTCTAAGGAGACACTCAGCTCTGGCCCCAAACTGACCACAAATTCTGCTTCCCAGCCTCCTTCCTCTTCGGCCAACTGGTTTTGGGACTATGCTGTTGGATTCTATTTACTGGAGTTCCTGCTCTGGATCAGGTAGGAATGCAAGTGTCTCTTTTCCCAGCACCTGCCATATACTGTTGCAGATGTGGTCCATCAGAACAACAACATCCTACCTAGTTGTGCAAACTGGGTCTGTCTCCTGGGTCCAGAGCAGGGGTTTTCAACCCTGGGGAGCTTTTTAAAAAATACCAGTGCCCAAGCCTCACTCCCTGGCTCACAGGTGTCGTGAAGCTTCGTATTGTCCTGTTTCTTACCTCCTTCCCAGCCTGAAGTCTGTGCTCAGGCTCAGGCCCCATGTCTGCCACCAAACACGTAACTATGAGTGATGGGGAAGGTTTTCTGGGGCCTTGAGTGGTGACTCTGTATCCAGCCAAGACATGGAATGGCATCAGATAAAGATTTTTGAAATGTTTCATACATGGAAATAATATAGGCAACACAAATTTAAAATATAAAGACTAATATAGTAAGCACCCACATCTTGTTGTTGCTACCGTATTAAGAAGTGAGACAACACTAGTAAAATTGGAGTCCTCTTGGTGGAACTCCCAGATCACAGTATCTCCCCCAAAAGGTAAACCACCCCCCCAAACTTTATGCTTATCATTCTCTTGCTTTTATTGATACTGTAGTTTTCTGAACCCTGAAAGAAAAAATTGGTAATTCAGCTTTGATAGTGATATTTTTCCATGTTGATATGAATAGCCGTAATTATTCATTTTTCACCGTACGCATTTACCACAATGTATGTATCCATGCTCTTGTTGGTGGATATTTGGGTTGTCTCCAGGAATTTTTTTGTCCATTACAAACAACGTTCCTGTGAGCATTCTGGAAATTTGCTTCTGATGTCTTGAGTATATAATCATGAGTGGCATTCCTGGGTCACCAAGTATAAGCATCTTTAGTTTTATAAGATCAAGTTGTTCTCCTAAGTAGTAATACCAAGTTAACTGCCAAGCACTGTAAGATTCTCTGTCCTCCATAAGCTGGACAAAATTGGACCTGTCAGGCTTTTAAATTTTTGTGTGCTCTGTGTTAAATGGTACCTCATTATGGTTTTTAATTCTTATTTCCCTGATTATTAATAAGGCTGCCCAGCTTTTCAGTTTATTGGTCTTCAGATTTCTCTTCTGTGAGGTGCCCATTTACGCACTTTGTTCTTTTAAAAAATTGGCTTGTTTTTTTCTTAGTGTTTTGTACGGCTTTTTTTACATGTATCTTGAGCACCAGTCCTTTGCTGGTTATGTGTGTTGCATCACCTTCTCCCTGTTGGTGTCTTATCTTTCACTTTCATGGTGTTTTATGATGTGTAGCTGTATTTAATTTTATCAAATGTAGCCATCTAGTCTTTTATCTTGAGGATTTTGGTGTCTTTTTAAAGACGGTGAGTCCAACCTAGAGGCCATCGCTCCATCAGATAACGGATCGGGAGTGAGAGTGGAAAATGCCCAGCCAGCTTCTCTCCCCTTCCATCACAGCAGCCTGGCAGCTTTATGTGCTTGTGTCTGTGGAGTCTGGGCCCAGGGAGCATCTAAATAAATTGGGCTGTAAATCACAGTTGGCACATCCCAGCCAGGGCGGATGCTCCGAGGGAGCTCCGTGACCTCTGAGCACAGCCCATGTGGCCCCCCTTTTCATGTCTTCTGGAAACTGCATCCACTCAGCCTCATCCCTGCAGCTCTGGGCCTCTCGCTGAACTATGTGCCCAAGGATGCGGGAATGAAAACTAACATAATGGATTGGGTACCTGGTGACTTAATGGCTGCTTTGCAATCAGACTCACTGTAGCCCCATGAGGGCAGGGATGCTGTCTGTCCTGTCACTGTCAATCTTCAGAGCCCCAGAGAACGCCTGGCACCTAGGGGAGGCTCATAGTATTTGTGTAGGAAATGCTAATGAAAAGCTTGGTCTCTGTCCTTGAGGTGTTCAGTAGCGGTCAACTGTAGGGGTGATGGTGTTGGCCCTGGCTGACCAGGACAGAGAGACAGGCTTTCTCGGGAACAGATCCCTGGAGGGTCAGCCAGGACCAGGGCCAAGCTCAGCTCCTGTGCTGAGAACAGCCTGGTGCCCTGGGGCCGGTGGGAGCTGCCCCATGGCCGTGCTGGCCTGGGACACCAGAGAGCATCTGCCTTGAGAGAGACAGCATTCTCCTCCCCTTCCAACCCCTGCAGCGTGTACCCTTCACCCTCCCAACCCCTGCAGGAGAAGGAGAAGCAAGGAGAAGGCTGATTTTGCTTTCTTGGCTTCCCAACACATCTACAGTGAAAATTGATTTCTTTTATAAAGACAAAAAAAATGAACTTTAATCTGTGTGTGTGTGTAAGTATACATTTGGAAGAATGTGACTTGGTGAATGAGTTTCCCAGAGCAGAAAGCCAGATGACAGCTCCTTCGGGGCCCAAGAAGCGCAGAGCCTTCCCTTTGCAATTCCTTGGGCAGCTCATTTCCAAACACAAGAATCCATAAGCCCAGCCCCCATGCTAGGCCACTGGCCCCCACTGGCCGCTTACAGCAATCAAGTCCTCCCAGGATGGCCAGGTGTGGAAGGAGGGTGAATTACTACAGTCCTGATGGAAATTAAACTGGCAGCAACCTGCTGAAATCAAAACTCTGCCTGCCCTTTGCCCCAACAATCTGGTAAGGATATAAGTACAAAGACCTTTGTGATGGTGTGGCATGTGGTGGTACTACACCGAAAATGACAGGTTTGGGCGAGGACGTGGAGAAATTGGACCCTTTTGCGCTGTTGGTGGGAATGTAAAATGGTGTAACCGCTGGGGAAAACAGTATGGAGGTTTCTCAAAAACTTAAAAATAGAATTTCCATATGACCCAGCAATTCCACTTCTGAGGATATATCAGAAAGAACTGAAAGCACGATTTCAAAGTGATAGTTGCACACTTGTGCTCACAGCAGCATTATTGCAACAGCCAAAGGGTGGAAGCAACACAGGTATCCGATGGATGACTGGATAAACAAGATGGGGTATGTCCATATACCGGAATACGATCCAGCCTTAAAAAGGGAGGAAATCCTGACACATGCTACAATGTGGATGAATCTTGAAAACATTATGCTAAGTGAAATAAGCCAGACACATAAAAGGACAAATGTTGTGTGATTCCACTTTTATGAGGCACCCAGAGTAGTCGAATTCATCGAGACAGGAAGTAGAATGGGGGTTGCCAGGGGCTGGAGGGAGGGCGCAATGGGGAGCTGTTGTTTAGTGGGGACAGAGCTTCAGTTTTGCAAGATTCTGGAGATGCACCACACAGCGATGTGAATATACTTAACACTACTGAACTGTACACTTAAACAATGGTTAAGGTGGTAAATTTTATGTTACGTGTTTTTTTTTTTTTAATCACAGTTTGGGTTTTTCACCAAACCCAAACCCTGAAAATAACCTAGTCATTAAAGGGGAAGAGAGGGATAAAATGTGAGATAAAATCCATAACTGGATCACGGGGCAGCCATGGAGAGAGTGATGGAGGGGCGATATTCACATTCCCTGGAGGGATTTCCAGGCTGTAGGTAAGCGTACGTGGCAGAGTATGTGGAGAATGAAGTCCTGGTTTGTAAAGGACTCGGCCCGGCGCCCAGCAAACAGCCGGCGCTCACTCACTGCTGGATAATACGATGATCACAGGCCCCTCTGCCCTGCCCCCCCAGCACCTTCCTCCCAGGCCTCGTGGGCTGGATCAACCGCTTTTTCTTCTGGCTCCTGTTCAATGGGAAGAAGGAAAACTGCAACCGCAGCCACAAGATCTTCACCTACGAGTGCCGCTTCAAGCAACACGTGCAGGACTGGGCCATCCCCAGGTAGGGGCTGTGTGGGCCAGCCTGCGGGTGGGTCGGCAACAAACAGATTCCCTTGGGATCTGCCCTAGCACGTACACTGCCAACCAGGCTCCCCGTTCTACCTGTTATTAGTGGGGGGCAAACTGGAGGCTCTGAATCCCCATCCGGTGCCCTTGCACCATTGTGACTCTCAGGGAGACCAGCCAGGGGATCCCCTCCGCTTTCCCCATCAGCTCCTCTCCAGCCATGCAGCCGGGTAGCAGCAGGCTGGCCAGCATCTGATTTTTCTGAAAGACTGTCGCCTGCATTGTCCCTCGGTCGGCAGAGTCCATGGAGCAGGCTGGGGGCCGGTACTCTGCATCTCAGTCCTGAGGGACACACCCCCCTCGGGACTGAGGCTAGGTCTGTAGCCCAGATCACTGCAGCTTTCTCTCTGAATTGCCCCTCTTTGTCCCTCTCCAAGAAAAGGTGGGGGCGGGGGTTGGTGCCCAGGGCTTAAGGGATGCCTCTGTTACCATGTTCAGGGGCTGAGACCACCACACTCTTGGGGAAGGACTATTAGAAAAAGTAGAAGTCTTGGAATCGGAGTGACCTGACTCTGTCTGAAGAAGAGGAGGCCGGGGCATGGGACAGCTGTGGTCAGAGACCCAAGGGGAGCCCCCGATTGGGGGGGGGCCCTGGGATCTGAGCTGGGAGCAGTTGGTAGGTCTCCTCTTCTGTGAGGAGGACTTTGAGAGCAGCCATGAGGAAGGGGCCTCCTGGGGACCGGGATCCCCGAGGCCCCCAAGGCTGGGAAGCCGTGCAGAGCCTCACGGGAGCTCAGGAGGCCCCTTCTTGAGGTCTGGGTTCCATCCCCCTGGGCCGAGTGCAGAGAGAAGACCAAGGAGGCCCTGCTGGAGCTGAAGGCCATGCTGGAGGCGCACCCCAAGGTGGTGGCCCACTACCCCGTGGAGGTGCGCTTCACCCGAGGGGACGACATCCTGCTGAGCCCCTGCTTCCAGCGCGACAGTTGCTACATGAACATCATCATGTACAGGTGAGCAGCTCGCGGAGGGGGCAGGGTGGGGCTGGGCTCCCTACCCCCACCCTGCCACCCTGCTTCGAAGGGACCCCTCTCCTTCCCCAGCTTTCAAGGCCAGTTCAAACGCCACCCTCTCCCGGGAGACTTCGCTGACCCTGGCTGCAGAAAATCGTCTTTCTCTCCTTCGAGTTCCTACGACCACCCTTTCTAGCCTATGTTATGTTAATGCAGTCATTAATATTAATGAATATGTAATATTAATGTTAACGTTAATATGCGTAGCTACTACTTGTGAAGCTGATATTACTGAATGACAAGTCTATGCTATCTCATGTGCCTGCCCTAGTCAGTGATTCCGAGAGCCTGGAACTGTGTCGAGAAGGATTCTGAGGCCGGGTTTCAGTTCAGCCAAAAAAAGAATCAGGCCTGGATGCATTTGCCCATCTTAACTGGCTCCACCAGGCCCTGTGCCGATACCTTAAGCTCACGACTGCGTTTTTTCCTGATTAGTTGCACAGTAATCTCTTGTATGAGGCTTATGGACGTGGACGGTTTAAGAAGCTCCTCTTTTCTAAAACTTCCTGCCTAAGACATGTCTTCCTTCCTTCCCATCCCCCATTGATAATAGCCCTTCTCTGACTTTGCAAAAGACATACTCTCTCCCAGCCTGAATCTTACTATGCTGTATTTCTCCAGCATGTAAAAAACCCCAAACTCAAGGGATCCCAAGGGACAATTCAAGAAGGCGCTGTCCTGGCGGGAGTCCCCGAAGCCAGAAGAGAGTTTCTGAAACACGTACTGAATGAGAGGCGGCTTATTTCATGTAGGGACAAACTTGCAGCCGGCCTCATCCACATCTGTCTGTCTATCTTATCCCTACCTGTGCATGTCAATTCAGAAGTGAGAAAGTTGCCATGGGGCTGCATCATAACATTTGAATTTTTTAAAGCTCTGACTTCGATTTTTTCTGTCAGTAAATCTGACTTTGCAGAACTGACCAACTAGGTTATATGGCCATGCTTTCCATACATCAATGAGGGGATTCTGATATAAATGTTTATTTTTAAGGTTTGTGTGTGTGTCTATGTGTATATATATATATATATCTCCTTAAAGTAATCTTTACATTAAATTTTTTTAATTTACATTTTAAAATATTTAGATTTAAAATTGAAATCTTCAAGCTACATGATATATAAATATACATACATATATGTGTGTGTGTGTGTGTGTGTGTGTATATATATATATATATATACATACACACACACAAATCTTTAAAATTATTTAAACTCATGACAACTTTCAGTGGCCAGTTAAAAAATATGCAAGAGGATGTAAACCTTTTCCAAATCCTTCTGAGCAGAAGCCCTCAAGGTGCTGGGTCACTGCTGTCCATGTCCTGAGGGCACAGGCAAGGTGCCTGGTAACAGTGGGTGGGACCGTGCAAAGCAGAGACAGGGCCTCACCTCCTTCTGCCCCCTCCCCAGGCCCTACGGCAAGGACGTGCCGCGGCTGGACTACTGGCTGGCCTACGAGACCATCATGAAGAAGGTGGGGGGCAGGCCCCACTGGGCCAAGGTAGGATGTTTCATGGGGGTTGTCAGCTGGGCAGCTGCTGTGAGCTGAGGCTTCCACCAGAGGGCGCCTCTCCTCCCAGTTGCCCTGCCTGCCCAAGGCTTAGATGTGGGGAAACTTGGGCTGAGCAAGTGACAGGAAGGAGGGCCCCCCACGACCCCAACCAGACCCATCTTCCCTCTGCATTCATGTTCCAACAGCCCAGTGACTAATTTTCTGAGTTTTCAGAAAACTTCCTCACCTTTCATTTTATTTAATTCTCATGGTAACCCTACGAGCAGGATGAGGCGGTGGGTCTATTTAACAGACAGGAAACTAGGGGTCTCTCAGAGGTGACGGGACTTACTTACTAATGAGCAGTTGAATTGGGGCCAGAGCCCTCTCCACTCACACACTGCCAGGTGGCAAAGGGAATGGGAAGTTTAATGCTGCATTTTAACACCTTCCTTCTTTACTTTCTAAGAACTTCCTCCCTCCTCTTTGGGTCTCTACATTATAGGTGCATGTGAATGAATGCGTGCACGTATGTGCTTGTGTGTGCCTGGGGGTAGCAGCGTCACACATGCAGGCATCCAGACGTGGGGGCCTGTTTGCAGCCCCGCTGCAATGGTGGTTCCAGGGAACGAGGCCTGTTGTATCTGGTTGCTTCCTCAGGCCCACAACTGCACCCGGAAGGACTTCGAGAAAATGTATCCTGCCTTTCCGAAGTTCTGTGCCATCCGAGAAAAGCTGGACCCCTCGGGGATGTTCCTGAATGCGTATCTGGAGAAGGTGTTCTACTGAAGCACAAACAGAAAACAAGTCGAGCCCACCCCATCCCATTCCCCAGGCCCACTTCCCATGACGTTGAAGGCTCAGCGTCCCTCCGGCCTGATGGGGAACAGACCTCTTCCCCCGGGCGCTCTGCCACGGTGCCCACAGCTGCTCTAACCCAGAGTAAGGAGTCTGGATCCGGGCAGCTCCCACTTCCCTCATCCTCACAGGAACCCCATGTAAGGAAGAGCACCAAATCCCCATTTACCTCTTCAGCCGCATCCTTTCAGCCCAAGCCTGCAATCACCACATCCTGTTTCCCAGAAGACAGAGAAGCCCCCAAATGTTCTGTGTCTAGGAGGTCAGGATTCAGCCTTTCACAGGTTCCATCCGCTGGTTGGGTGTCCGGAGCTCCAGGGATCCCTCGCCCACCCTTGCAGGGAGGGGTCCCCCTGGCATGTGTTTGGGCACAGAGGTCGTGTGTTCTGTGCTCTGCTTTCTTTCACTCTCGAGGGTCTTTTAGATGCTCAGGTGCGTGCCCCCTGCCCTGGGACTGCCCTCTTCCAGAGGGTCCACCTGTTCATCTGACCTTCCGTAGCCCGACCTACAGTGTGTCTATTCCAGGGGATGTTTGGGGAGTGGGACTCTCCTTGCCTTCTTTTTAATAAAGGCCAAGAGTTCATTCACTCTCTGCTCCCTCCTCTTCATCTCCAAGGTAATCCTTTGGGAGCAGGGGGCTCCCTGATTCCCCGACTGCCTTCCAGAGGTAACGGGTCTCGGACTTGCCTGGAAAATGCTCTTCATATCCCTCCTGCAAACTTAGTTTCAAGCTGTCTCTGACCTACCACACTTTGTGGCTATTCTTTCACCAGGCTCTTGTTGAACATCTACAAGGTGCCAAGTGCTTTGGGGGAATTAAAAGGACCTTAAGGGGCTTCCCTGGTGGTGCAGTGGTTAAGAATCCGCCTGCCAATGCAGGGGACACAGGTTCGAGCCCTGGTTCAGGAAGATCCCACATGCCTCGGAGCAACTGAGCCCATAAGCCACAAGTACTGAGCCCAAGTGCCACAGTTAACTGAACCCCACGCGCCTAGAGCCCATGCTCACAACAAGAGAAGCCACCACAGTGAGAAGCCCACGCACCACAACAAAGAGTAGCCCCGGCTCACTGCAACTAAAAGCCCGTGCGTGGCAACAAGGACCCAATGCAGCCAAAAATTAAATAACTAAATTTACTCTTTTAAAAAAAGAACCTTAAGACAACAGGTTCCTGGCATCCAGAAATGTATATTTTAATCATATGTTTCATAAGAGGTTAATACGCAGACTATATAGGAACTCCTCAACAACACAAAAACAAACAGCTGATCAAAAATGGACAAAGGGCACTGGTTGGGAGTCTGCCTGCCGATGCAGGGGACATGGGTTCGTGCCCCGGTCCGGGAGGATCCCACATGCCGCGGAGTGCCTAGGCCCGTGAGCCATGGCCGCTGGGCCTGCGCATCTGGAGCCTGTTGCCCTGCGGCCGGAGAGGCCACAGCGGTGAGAGGCCCACGTACCACAAAAAAAAAAAAAAAAGAAAATAGACAAACGGGCCTCCCTGGTGATGCAGTGGTTGACAATCTGCCTGCCAATGCAGGGGACACGGGTTCGAGCCTTGGTCTAGGAGGATCCCACATGCCGCAGAGCAACTGGCCCCGTGAGCCACAACTACTGAGCCTGCGCCTCTGGAGCCTGTGCTCCGCAACAAGAGAGGCCGCGACAGTGAGAGGCCCGCGCACCGCGATGAAGAGTGGCCCCCGCTCACCGCAACTAGAGAAAGCCCTCGCACAGAAACGAAGACCCAACACAGCCATAAATAAATAAATAAAATTTTTAAAAAAAGGCATATTCCTTTAAAAAAAAATGGACAAAGGACTTGAATACACATTTCTCC